ATAGGTTCTGAGGGGCTTTTGGAGGATGGCTGCAGAAGTAGGAGGTTTATGGGTTGGTAGGAAGCCATACGCTCTCACAGCACGGTGGCTAAAGCTGGTCAGATCCCTCAGAATGTTCTAACCTCAGCCCACAATAGTTTGCTTCCTCTGAGCATGGGCAGCAAAGAAAGGGAATGAAAACCTCAGCAAGTGTCTGTAAGGGAGACTGGAGGTGTTCAAAGCCAACATGAATGAGGATTTGGGCAACCTGATCTAGTGGATGGCAACCAGCCCCGTGGCAGGGGTTGGAACTGAATGGGCTTCGAGGTCTTTTCCAACCTGAGCCATTCAGTGACTCTAAAGAAGGGCTGTGCCAACTCCAGAACGTGACAGAGAAGACCAGAGCATGTCTGTGGCTCACACACATGAGAGCTGTGCCCAACTCACCGACCACGTGTGTCCTTGTAGGCAGAATCCACGAGCTGCCTGGCCTCATTCACACTGCTCAGCAGGAATGCATCCCTTCTCAGGCAAATCTCATCGGGGGAAAGGAAAGAACAGAGGTGAGAGTGCTTCCCTGTGCTGCAGGGGGCTTCACTTTGCACCTCCAGAACCAGGAGTACTGGCATTGCAGCGCCAATACATCTGTGTATAAATAAGTTCTCTGGGCACATAACACAGCTCCTCTGGGGTATGCCCAGCATTGACTGGCTGTGGCTACAGAACAGCGGGGGAAGCCCCTACAGTGCTTCTCTGAGTGGGATCACCTCCAGGGAAACAGAAAGCTTCAGAAATCAACACAAAGGGGACAAAAACCTCCAAATTCTCCCAATATCCTTTGAACTGTCATCTCTGATGGACCAAGAGTTGATCTGAGTTGGGCTGGGAGACTGCTGAACCCTGGGGATGGAGCTGCTCTGGGAACTGAGCTCTCCTTTAACGTGGTTTTAGGAAATCAGACAGGAAATTTACTGAAAAAAACAGCATTGCTGGCCCTATAGATACAAACTGATTACTCTTTTCACTGTTTGGGACTCAGCTGCTTACAAGAATTCAGGTTCTCTTAGACTTAACTTTATCCTTTTTCCTACTCAGAACATGAAGGCCCCTGATCTGCAAAATCTGAGAGAGACAATACCATAGGAAGAAGATACAGATTCCAGGAACAGGATGAGCATCACCAACAACACCAGGAAGCAGGTTTCTGCCTTCATCCCTGCAAAGAAAGGTAAGAAATGATGAAAATCAAGAAGCCATGCATCCGACCATGAATGGTGCAGATGGAACACATTAAGGGAGCACACAAAGTGGCCCCTTCCCAATGCTATGCTCACCTAGCATGTGCACTGTCCAGCAAGGCCTTCCTGTGCAGCAGCAGCAGATTTTCCATGAAAGCAAAAGCAAGTGTGCAATGGGTCAGATTCTCACCTGCCATCTTCTTCTGTCCTCACTGTGCCCCCCTCTGTGGCCACGCTTTTATCTGCAGCAGGTTGTTATCTGATGTGGGATATCTGAGCCATGGGGAACTGCCCCCCGGGTTGGTGGGGCCAAAGCAGAGTAGCACCCACTGCCCAGCCCAGCTCCCAGCAGGGGCTCCTGTGTGCCCCACAAATGGTCCTGCACACCCACCGGGACGAGGCAGCACCCTGCAATGGTTTGGGGGTCATGGGATGCCTGATGGGAATAGATTCTTCTCTCCATCATTATCCTTTACTGCTCTTAAAGGCTGAAAAAGTCTCAGGAGTGGAGGCATTAGCTCCAGGGGAGATCTGCTCATCACTCCCCATCTCAGCTCCCTAACCTGCCCTGCCCTGTCCCCCTGCTGTGGTCTGGATGGGCTCACAAAATCCATTCCTTGTGCTTTATGCTTCCTGCACAGACAGAAGCAGCAGGAGAGGAACCTGGCTGATGGTCTGACCACCACCAGCCTCCAGCAACAGATCCCGAGCTCTGGGCAGCTCAGGTTGGGTTTTCTCTTGCCCAAATTGCCCCTGTGCTCTTGGGAGCTCACTGGACAGCCCTTCCTTTGCACAAAGTCCCTCTCCCTGTCTGAGTGCAAACCCAGCTGCTGGACCAATTCCACTGCCTTACAGCTGTGCTAACACTACAGGGAACTGGGATTCTGCTGGACCTGGTGAATGATGTTCCTCAGCCAAATGGGGTGAGAAGAAGCACAGGAGATGCTTACCAGCTCTTCCTCCTAAATGGGTCTCCAGCTTCCTGCATTCGTCCCATAACAGAAACTCCTTGGTTCAGCAACACAGACTGAGAGTTCACCAGGGTGGATTCAGTCTGAACTCCTCCCTGCACGAGGCATTCAGGAACCACTGTGTTGCTCCCCTGCTCCCAGCAGCAGCTCTGCTCATGCTGGTGTCCCCGAGGCTACTTGCAGGCTGAACCATGTCCTTTAACTCACTGCATCAGTCTTTTAACATTTTAGAGAAAACTTGCAAAGCAAAGAGCAAACCTTGCAATGAGCCAGAGGTGAGGCTGCACCTGGAGCACATGTCCCATTTGCAGCACTGCTCTTGTGCAAAGGGGCAGAGCGGGCAGAGTTTTGCAGCCATTGTTTTCTTGCTTACTCTGCTGCACCATGCAGCTCACTGGTCAGAACAAGGATAAGGGTTTTTCAAAAGCTAATGAGAAAGTTAGTGCATATTTGTGCTGATAATTGCATTTCACGATGTGGAACTTAATTGCTCTCAGAACCTTCAGCAGCAAATGAGACACCATGTGCTGCTCCTCCAAGGGTAAGGAAACAAGAACATATAATGTCAGCTCAAGCAGCGTTGCCTCAGAGCAAAGATATTTCCACACCATCCAACTGCTCCTTCTGCCTGCAAGGCCTACAAATACTTGGACCAAGAGCAGCCAAAGACCCAAAATAAGAAGTGTACATCCCAGCCAGAGGCTCTGTTCTCCCAGTTTTAAGCAGTGATTAATTAGGATGAGGCCAAAAGCAGGAGTGACTTCTCCATCCTCCAGCAGCTGATGGCAGCAATCCCCCCAGCTCTAGGTGTGCTCCAGGATTGCTCACTTGCTCTGTGCCACTTTAGAGGCAATTTGGTCCTCTGGACAATGCCCCCTCTGCAGAAGGCTTACAAGGACAGATGATCCCATGCCCTACCCAGGGCCACACACCACCTCCCTCATTCTCTAAGTGCTATGGTCCAAAAGCCCAGGTCAGACCAGCTTGTCTACTCTTCCCTACATCAAATCAGTTTTTCAAGCTCATAATTAAGAGGATATTCAATTCTTGCACTTCTTGAGGTCTGTAAAAAGCCAACCCAAGCTCTGTTCTTCTGAAAGAAGTTTTGTGAACTCAGGAATGTGCCAAAGCTCAGCTCACCAGGATGGGGCTCTGAGCACTGCAGGTTCCCTGCTCATTGCAGGGGGGTTGGACTCAGTGACTTCTAAGGGCCCCTTCCAACCCAAAAGATTCAATCATTCTATGCCCTTGGGAACTATGGCTAACCAAATGTTGGTATTTTCTCTGGAGTTGAGAAGGTGCTAAGAGAACATCCTGAGGAACCCATTTGCACAAGTACCCCTGATTCTGTCCACTTGCCCCTTCTCCAATTTCTTCTGCACTTTGATGTGTAGAGGACACGTGTGAAGGTCTTGAAGGTCTTGAACCTTTCTTAAGACTTCTGTCTTGGTGCAGAGCCTGCCTGGTGCTGGGGAACCAACTGAATTAGTATGACTGCTACGTGATGGCAGTCCATGTATGTAACACTGAAATTTGGTAGGCAGCAGCCCAGCATGTCCTGGGGAACAGGGCGTCACCATGAACCTATGGGCACAAGGACTTGGCTGAAGGAAGTACGAAGGGAGAAGCAGAGCCCTCCTCCAGGCACCCGCTCTGGGTAGGCACCAGAACACTGCAGCTGCTGTTGTTCTTTCTATGGGCTTTGCTCTTCAGTTCACTCCCTGATGAACCGATAAGTGCAACAACAGTTAGTTTCTTTCAAAAGACCTCCAACGACTCGCTTAGGAAACTGCAGATGTTAAATTCAGTTTAGAACTGCAACCAACTTCCTCCAGGCAGGGTGAGTGGGAGATAAATTACAGCAACTGCAGCTCACAGAGGTATTCCTGGAGGCACTTGCTGCCAAAATTAGGATTATAGTCATAGAATAGCATGATCTGGGACTGCAAGGATAACTGAGCCCAGCTCCTGGCTCCACACAGCACTGCCCACAACTAATCCATATGTCACTTAGCCAAACACTTCTCCAACTCCAGCAGCCTTGGTGCTGTGATGGTTCCCTGGGGGCTTCTTCATCAAAGTCCTTTGCAGAGCCCCAGGTAACACTGCTCAGTTTCAAGTGTCTGCAGTTCCACAGAGGTTTCTATGAAGCACCATCTGCTCACTGAGTCTGAAGCCAAGACCCTATGGTTTGACCTCAGTGCTTTTGGGGTTTATTTTTCACTTCTACCCAAAGTATACTGAAGAATGTAAATAGGCATTCCAGTTGGTGAGAGGGGAAATGTCTTCCTTCTCCTTTGTTTGGTCAGTTGCCATAGGCAGTGTTTTTTTCTGGATCCAGGCATCTTCTAGGGAAAGCAAGGAGAAAAACTGCAACTCCTAGCAAGACAGGAGGAAAAACCTGTTTGTCTCTAGTATCTCCAGCCTTCTCTCACCTGATCAGAGACACCATGTTCTGAGGCACTACAGAACTCAGCAGCTACATGGGAGGAATGAGACATTGAGTAGCTTGAGCATGGTTGGAGCCAATTATGTCCACAAGTCCCTGCCAATTCTGGGCACTCTGTGATCCAGACAGTCTAACAGTGTAACTACACCTGATGTCTCCTCCTCCAGAATTAGGTCTCTTGTGACAGGAGAGGCAAAGAGTTTCCATTCGCAGGGAGGACTGCTCTGATGGTGATCACAGGGAAGACAGGGACCCACATGAGGGTCTATGGAGCATCCTCAGGGTGCCAGTGACTGGAATTGTTCTTCCACCACACACACCATCACCACTCCCAAATAAGCAACAATGAAGCGGGTGCTTTTTTAAGGAAAATGTATTTTTGTGAAAATAGACTTTATTATAATAAAATTTGATATTAAATAAAAACATACCTTATCACCAACATCTGTGGACACTGTGCTGGCATCATTCACATACCTCACATAACTGTCCTTCTCAAAACAAGTACCCATTGAAACATGCAAAGAAAGAAACACAGCAAAGGATAGAAACCATGTCGTACAAAACTCCGTGGCTTACAAAGGAAATGACTGAACTGAAGGAACCTATCATCTCATATGAAAACAGCTGCAAACTCTCCATCCCCAGCTCTGCTCTCCAAATGCTCCAACAAGAGAGGAGCAGCGCACTGAAACAGCCAAGTGAAATGGTGAGAGAGGCGGACAAAAAAAAAACAACCCATAAATAAATAAATAGATAAATAAATAAATAAGGCGGAGTCCCCAGCCAGTGCATGGTCAAGGTGAGCCAGCCAAGAGCAGCTTACAGCAGCCCACGCTATAGGCAGAAGCATCGATCCCCTCCTGGGTATCGCTCCTTCCTCCATGGGAATCCTCGTGCTGAAACATGACTGAGGCAGTGTGGGATGCTCCTAGGCACAGCTGCATATTTACAGGTTTACAGTACAAATAACTCACTTTTCAGCCCAGAGACAGCAAAGGGGATTCACAGGAAAAGTGCAGATTTTCTTTGCAGGAAGTGAAGGACTCGACACAACCTCCTTTGGACCAGTAGTACAACGGAGCTCTTCCTAAGGGGCTGGGGCTTTGCTGGGAAAAGCCATTTAGCTAACTTACAGCCAGAATATATTTCTTGAATTAAAATATTTACAGGGAACCGGTGCATCGAGGGCTGCAAGGAGCAGGACACACTACTGTGGAGGTAGCTGCATCCTAGAGCCGAGGCCTCACACACCTCAGTGCCATGACACTGTTCAGAGCTGCTGCCCACGCAGGGTGGGCACCCACAGCTGAGCTCTCAGCAAAGCATGCAGCTCACTGAGAAGTTTCCTCTATTCAATATACACTTTTCTCCTATGAAAATACTCTAATCAATCAGCTTATTGCGAGGGCTTCTCCTGAATTTTCAATGCCTGTGTGGATTGCACAGGCAGTCTATACATGGCGATAAATCCCTTGTTAGTCTTTCTTACTGGACCCAAGTTTTCTGAAGAGCTCTTTTCCTTTGATGAAGAAGCCTCTCTTCTTTTTACTCTGACCAGGTAAGTCACTGCATTTGAGAACAGCCAGTGATGCCTGCTCTGGACGCTGCTTGCCCATGACAAGGCAGGAAGGAGGTGCAGGAGGAGTTGGTGAGAAGTCATTGTGATCAACAGATCCATCTGGATTTAACTGGGTGGGAAAAGAGAAAACAAAGGAAAAAAAGGATATTTTGCCAACACAAACCTCAGCCAGAAAACCCTCCCTTCTCCCACCACTCTGTCCCTCACCCAGAGAGGCTCAGCCCCTCTGTGGTTGCAGATTCAGTTAGGAAGCTTCTGGTAGAGTTGAAGTGTTTTCTACTTCTCACCCAGACACTGCCTGACCTCAGACACTCCAAAATTCCTTAACTTCAAGCTACAAACAGTATAGCAGAAAAGCCTCACTGAGGACTTGATGGAAGATGCTGCTTCACAGCCGAAGAAACTGAAGTTAAACACCTTCTGAGTGCAAGGATGGAAAGACTGCCTGTTGGGTGCCTGCAGTCAGGGCAGGATGGTGGGCTCCCTGCACAGCCTGGGCAGATGTGAAGCAGCTCAACAAACTGCACAATTTCTCCTGTCAACCTAGGCATGAAAGACTGCACGCAAAGTGAGAGGCAGGCACCAGGCCAATTCATAAATGGCACAATTATTTTCAGAAAGGACAGCTCATTATCAACATCATCATCAAATATCAAATAGTTAAAGGGAAATGACTGCAGTTCCCTGTCTTTGTGGCTGCAAGTCCTGATTCCCAGCTGTGGTACATGATGCCCAAGCAGATTTCCACGCACAGAGGCACTCATACACATGCACAGATATTCTCAGAAGTCTCTATATGGCAGAAAAACAACAGAATCAGTTTACAGATTCATCTGGTACGAGATAAAGGATGCTAAAATCAGGGTTTCTTCCTTGTGAGAAAAATGGAGACAGAACCACTCTGGTAAGATCCTGATGAAAGCTGTTGGGGCTGATAACAACACTCGTGTTAGTTGGCAGGGGATGGTTTTCAGTGCTCTCTTGGGTTTGCTGATTAATCCAACTACACAAAAGCAAGTCAAACACAGATCTCTTCCTGTTGCTCCCCTCAAAATCTCACCCCCAAGCCTCAGAATTGATTCTTTGTTATCAGATAGAACAATTATCCACACAGGGTTGGTTTTAGGGACTAAATGTTACTGCTTTCTTAACTTGATGGGGTACTAGGAAGTTCGAGGAGTATGCTCAGGAAGGAGTAAAATCAAGAAGTGAGAAACAGGCTGAATATGGGGTGTGCTCAGCCTGAGTGGGATCCTGCTAAGGCTGCATGAGGCATTTCTACAGTGGTAGAACAGCAAGTCTGAAGTACAAAGCAGATCTTTTCTAAACCTGAATATCCAGCACTCCTACATTCCCACTGCAGTCCCCAAAACCACCAAATAATCGTTCAAAACAGCACTTCATGTGCTGAACATGGCTCCACTTTAATACAGAACTAACTGAGTAGTAAAGGCCTGCCACCAGAGGGCTTAAGGCTGGTGTCAGAGCCCCAGAACAGCTTCTCAATTTACAAGCAAGAACAGGAACAAGCTTCAAGTGTGGAACTCTCTAATAGAGTGGTTAGGAAATGGAAGAGATCTTCTCACACAAACTTACATGGTTGCTCTCTCTCTATGTATCATTCATATCTATCACTGGACTCTTCTCTTCCTCATTCTCTGAAGAAAAGAACCGCCATGGGTGCATAATACAGGCAGAAATAAATACATGAAATCAATTAGAATTGAATACTTTCTGAAGGTGCTTTACAATCAGTCTTTGACAGAAACTGTATTAGCAATGCAAAAAGATTCATTCAGCAGCCATGGCATTAAAGCAGGCCACTCCTAGCTGCTGAACATCAGTGTTTCAGTGCCCTAGCTTGTGATCATAACTTCTTGGATACTCCTCTTTGCACTGCATTTTTTACTGCTCAGTCTAGCCAAATTTATGTCAGTTTGAAAGTTAAATCACTTTACTTTTATCAGTTGCCAACATTTTAAAATTTGCTCAGAAATAGTTCTAATAATTCACCTTCCCCAGTTCAACATTCAAATCGTCCTTATTCTCAAGCCTTTGTCATATCAGAAGACAAAAAGCAAATGGGTAGAAGAGATCTGGTGAAAACTTTAAATCCAAGAAGTTATAAGCAATTTAAAAACCACTCCTGGTCATGCTGGAGAAGCTTCTGTTAAGACCTGAAGTAGCTTTAACACAGTCCAAAGCTCTGACAGGATACATGGTGAGGATACATGCTCATTGATGAGTTAGCTTTCAAAATGAATGAAGTTGGCAAATTTGATAGGAAACTTGTCATGTTGTGTATAATATTCAAACAGTGCTTCCCTAAAGGCTGCCAGGAGCTTTTGCACACCCCCTGACCATTCACCCCAATGCAGAGATGCTTCCATCTGTGTTCTGCTTGATACACATGCCAACAACACACTTAAATGGCACATTCCTAAACTATGGAATGAAAATGTGGAAGACCAGAAAGCCTCAGGTGTGGCTGTATCACACAGTTTACTGCAGCTCAGGGGTGGCCCCTAGAATATTCTATAGGAAGACATGTTCCTTCTGCCTTACTTATCAGGTGCTCTGCTTGTAGGTATGGATGCTGTGATTGCTATGACAGCCAAAACTCTGGGGGTCAGGTTCTGCCTCTCCTCAGAAATCACTGAATGTACTTAAATGTAGTTAGGTAGCACAAGCTTGGTTAGGAGTAGGGTAAACATACTGCTTTTACAAAGAGACAAGCAGACAAGCATGCCCTTCATATTTGGAAGCTGTTTAGATACATCTGGGCTGCAAAGCAGAAGCAGAGACTGGGACTGTGTGGAGTCAGAATGGTGAACTGCTGTGTCCAGGCGAACAGTAACCTGCTGCAGAACCCAGCACAAGTGGAAAGAGCAGAGCAGAGGAAGCAGCAGCAAACTGCAGGGCAGCAAGCAGAAGCAGCTGGTATTCCCTGCCCAGCAGCAGAGCAGACATGCCCTTGGGATCCTGTAAGCTCATGACACAGCCTGGGATATGGCAGGCCAAACTGATGTCTTATTGATGAGGAAGCTGAGACACAGAAGAGAAATGCAAACAGTTATAAGGACACAGGGACTGAGTATGCCACGAACACCATTTGCTAAGCCACATACTTCACATTTGCAAGCAGCAGATCAGTTCTCTGAGCCCAAATGGTTAACTGAATTTCCCATTATTTCCTATGATTTTTTCACCGAGATTTCTGGGACCCAGACTGGGGCTGGAATAACAATCCTTTGATATCTGAACAGGCCTTTGCCAGCTGTTACCTGATAGGACATCAGATGTGGAATATGTTGTACTTCCAATTCAGCCTGTTATAACTGTACTGGTTCATGTTTCCTTTGACACCTTCTATTCTAATAGATGGATAATTTGGGAAGATAAATTGTTCTGATGGAAACTAGAGAAGAAAACCCCCTCTGAATACTTGTTTTCACTCAGAATTTGCACCTGTGCAACCTCCTAGCTGCCAAACCCTGGTAGTAACAGTTCATTAAATACTGCAATTTCTCAGAATGTACCAGCACTTGTGGGCTGAGATCAAAGGGACTGAGTATCCTACACAGACAACCCAAAACTGCTTTTGGGTTTAGGAGATTATCCAAGTAGACTATCCATAAACCTTATTTCTGATGCATTCCTGACACCTCTCACAGGAAGGCATTGAGGCTGTGGGACAAGCACTGCATCCACAAAGCTTCATGTGCTGGGGAGCAGATTGGGCTGCAGAGGGTGCCTGTGGCAGACCAGGCAGGCATTTGGAGACAGGGAGATGGAAAGTGAGCAAAGGAGGAGCAGAGCATGAAAAATAGGACAAATGACACTGCAAGGAGCTAGAAAGCTAGCATGACACCAGTGAAGAGACTAACAGGAAGATTCAAGACAACACACTGCCTTCAGGAGTAGCTCACAGCCAACCTAGGTTTGCTCTTCCACACTTCTATGGGTCTGTGTACCTCCCTGCCTTCCACTCTCTAGAATACCACAGCACAGAGGATTTGGGAGTTACCAAAGAGGTGCCATACTTTTGGCCTCACCCACTGAGGACTGACTGAATCTGGCACGTGACCCAAATCTCCTGCTGAAGCATTTGCTTGAAAAGCATTAGAAACATAAAGCAAGGGGAGACAGCCCAACCTTGGAACTCCTTGCATCTGTTGGTTGCTCTCAAAGCCTCAGGCCATGAATTCATTCATCAGATCTGGTTGAGAAACTCCCCTGTTTGTTTTGAATTTGTCTGAGAGCACCTTGGACAGGATTAAGATATATCTAACTTGGGAGAGGTGGAAAAACACTGGTGCTTAGTTAATAATCCCAGAAATCCTTCACATGGATATGAATATATCTGAGCAATATTGTGCCTGGGAAGCCACCTGAACTGTTTTATTTGCAGTGGCATTTCACTACTGACCCTTGCGTGCATCTGAAGAACTTGCTGGTGGAACCTGCCATGTTCTCTGCTTACCATACTGAGCATGAGGATTCAACAAATGTTCTTTTGTACCTTTTTTTCATATTAATGTTAAATTTTCAAGAGCTCCTCATGCACCTCTCTAAACTTCTGAGCTCCCACGGGATGAACTGAGCTGCATGCAATAACTGATATGACTCCACGAGGTGCTGCGTGCTGTGCAGTGCCCAGTCTCTAGCCATGTCACAGTTTGAATGTCTCTACTATGCAGCCACACAATCTTACCTGGCTCTCAGCACCCAGCAAAAAAGTGTCTTTATCTTTTGAGTGAAGCTCCTCGACCACGTCTCCATCTGAGGTTACAGCTTCCAAAAAGTTAGATGGGACAAGCCCTCTCTGCTGGTTCAGCTCTCCCTGCAAGATCAAGACTCAGTTCCCACATTGGGTTTCCTGGATGAGGCAGAAATAAATAGAGGAGCAGGCCCATGCAGAGAAGGCCTGAGAGAAGCCCAGGAATACACTCATGTTGGAAGCATCCTCAGGAAATTTCACAACTCACATTCTTGCTTAGTTGTGGAACAATTCAGAATGCAAAAACACAGAGGAGATTACAAGAAGAAAAGATGACAGTGAGCCACAACAAATATATTCCAGGAACACGGACACATCAAAGTTGTAAACTATGAAGCCTATTTGCACTCCACAAGCTCAAAAAATTCCCACGGATGTCCTCAAAGCAACTGGAACATGGTTGTGCCAAAGGCTACCTAAAGGCTTTTCATTTACTCTGGTATTTTGCATATATTTATATATTTCTAAAGAATGAAGTACTGCTGGTACAACATCCTTCTCTCTGCTCACTGACATCTAGAGCTACAAACCAAGTTCAACTGTCATTCTAAAAAATTGTCTCCAGTTCATCAGCAGGTAGTTGGGTGAGACAAAACCACCCCTGCAACGTTGCTTGGACAACACCACGAAGGAAGTCAAACAAAACATTCACAAGAATCTCTTCTGAATTTACTCCAACGTGAACCTCATCCTTTATGTGTGAATACAGAGTTTTCTGTTCAGGTGAGCTAAAGAATGAGCTAAAGAATGAGCTAAAGAATGTGCCCTACACACAGCTCACTGGCAGGCAGAGTCCCCAGCCATCCACAGTAAATAAAGCAGATATCAGTGTTTGTTGAAGTTGGTATGTGGTAGGACAGAGGTTAGTGTACATTTTTATCCTTGTGTTACCATTTCAGCTTCCTGCCCTAGACAAGACCACGTGTCAGAGTCCTTAGTGACAAATCAGCTTGCAGCAGATACTGATGCAGCCGCTGACGTACATTGCAGGAAGATATATTCTAGGCTTTGGGAAACCTGCAGGCAAGTTACACCAAGAAAGAAACTCATAACCATTTGGATATTAGTTCAGAGGAGTATGTATCTGCCTGCACTAAACAGGGACGTGTTCATTTGTTCCATTAGCAATATAAGATACTTTGTCCCCTTATTTCTGCTCTCCTGCCACTAGACGGATTCCAAGGATTTCAGATGTAGCCAAAGGACCTTCCCACTCCCAATACTTACATAGTAGAATCCATCATCATCCATGGACCCAAACACAGTGATAATGTCCCCTGCACTGAAAGTCAGTTCAGCCTGCAATGAGCAAAAGAGAACAATGGTCACAAGAGGAGCACTGCCAGAATTTCTCACCAGAAACACAAGGCCAGGCCACCCTGGACTGCTTGTACTAATCTCACCACAAGTGATGATGACCATTGTGTTAAGAGTTACAGGACCAGAATTCAGCAGGACAACCAAATTGGGAAACTGGAATTCAGTGTTAAGGAAGCATTTAATAAAATAAGACAAAGCAAAGTGTGTTCTTGAAACCAATTTTGATAAAGCTTCAAAATGGTTGAAAACCACTAGGTTAGTTTCAAGACCTAACACCTATTCCAGAAAGTGGCACTGAGAAAAAGCTGAACAAACATCAGGAAAAAAAAAAAATCATTTATTTATTTATTTATTTATTTATTTATTTAATATAAACACTAAATCCTCTTCCCTTGGATGATCCTTTTCAGTATGCAATGCTCAAGGATCAGTTACTACCAGAAATGCATATGAACAGGAAGATCTAACCTGAGAACAGAACATTACTGCACAGGAGATGTGATCTGTTGTCCACCACTCAAGTACACAGTCCTTGGAGCACAAGACCAAGGTGAAAAGTACAAGTATTCTCGTCTAATGGAAGAAATCTCCCCACTGACAGTGAAACAGCTCTAAGATAGAAGATCTGGAGTCTCCAAATAGGCTGTGTAAAAGGCAAGTCCCACTGAAGACAATAGCTCTACACACATGAAAGGGTTGGCTAGAAAAGACCCACTTCTAGTGTATTTATAATATGTAGTTCCCAGGACTCAATTTCTCTCCTGAGGCTGTAGGATCCTACTACTGGTTGTGAATGGCTTTGTCCCAGCAGAAAGAAGCTTCTAGAGGACTTCACTCACAGACACAAAAAATTGCACAGCTGATCCCAATAGGACTTACTGCAGGATCATAAACAGCAAATCTAGTGACCAAATTCCTGATGAATCAAGTGACCAGATCTTCTGGGAGTGTGCATAGGGAGCAGCTCCAAACACTGCAATGTGGACAGTGTCTTATTGACTCAAAAGTGTCTTATTGGCTCAAAAGTAATCTTCGGCCAGATGTGTGAATACCTATGTGGATGCTGTTTAATGTATGCTCTCATTATACCTCTCCCAAGACAGCTCATCATCCCCATAACACTGTCCTCAGAAGATTCTCTTGTTCATAAGACCCTTGGACTAGGCAGCAAATATTCTCTGCACTGTGCCAGCCAACGGTCATCCGTTCTTTTTAGTATACATGGAAAGAACCTGAATTCAAGCCCCATTACATTTGCTCAGAGTGGACTAATGCTGCTACAAAGGAAGAAAGAACAGAGCATGTTATAATTTAGAAAGCCTTTTTTTTTTTTTTTTTTTTTTCTCCCAGACAGTGCTCTGCTCTGTAATCTTTCCACAGGAAATACTTATCCACAAAACTGTTGTTTGGATTATACCTAGGGACTGCTTGAAAAGCCAGAATTTAGAGGACCAATCCATTAAACTGGAGCTACGTCCTCTTTCTTGAATGAAGATCTACACAGATCTTTGCCTGTTAACACAACAGACATGCTCCACCTTAAGTATCAGAAGTCAGTTCAAACCCTTGAAAGGATTTTCCTTTTACTGCAGAATGTCCAGGATCACTTGCTAAAAGCAGGGGCTGTTCAGTCCTGTCTGACCACTTCCAGGATGCTACAAGGCCCTGAGATGCTCATAGGGCTTCACAGAGATGCATACTGAAATTCATTAGGGATATGTTGCTTCATATTTGCAGATCACTGAACACAGTTATGCCTGACAGAGAGTATCAGCAAAATTTACATTTTAAGACATAAGCCAACTTGTTTTAGCAGCTATATTGTTATGCTATAATCACCTTAGTTTTGACTGAAGTACTAAGTGTCTCAGAACAGATGAAAAAAGAGTGGAAAAAGAAACCTGTCAGAGGACTGAGCAGTTGCTGGTTACCTCTGCATCTGCATTTGGAGAGCTCTCTTTAGGATTATAGTCGAAGACAGCCACCATACTTCGAGGAGTCAGCAGTTCAGCTTCAAAGTCTTGATGCTTCTGTCCTGTAGGACAAAAATATAACAAGATTTACTGAGCTGTAAGTTAAAAGAATATTCCAAATCATAGCAACTCCTTCACTGTTACTGGGAGTGAATTGAGTAGAAGTAATACAAAGGGGAAACTGAATGGGCAAGAGATCTTAAAGGCCCCAGAGATATCTAGTAAAACAGTTTTCTGCTCTCCTCCATCACTTTACAATCACAGAACTGGTGACATCTCACAATTCCACTGTCCTGGTATTCTGCCTATAAATATAGAAATGTTTTCTTTCATGTATTTTATTTTCTATTTTAACACACACACACTCAACACTGTCTCAAATGGACATTTCTCCCCCCTCCGTGTAATGCTTTGCTACTGAGCTACAAAACTGATTTTCTGTGTGCCCATCCACACCAGCACAGATCTCAGCACCAGGGGAAGGCAGGCCTCATAGATCAGACATTGCAATGCATTTCTACAACCACCTGCTTGCCTGCTTGCTCAGCCCCATTTCTTACTTCTGGACTTAGTCTGCAAGAACAAAGCCTGGCACTACAGAAAAGATAAATTGTTCAGTTCTTCATCTTATGGATTTATGTCCTGCTTCAGGTAAACACTGGGCGGCTTAGTAATGGGTTTGCAGGCTTGACATCAACAAATCTCAGTACACCTCAGCAGGGTTAGAATCCCCTCAAGAGACACTGGATTTTAGGGAATGCAGCATCAGATGAGTAAGCAAAACCATGCGTGCCCTTTACCTTCTAACACTCCCTGGTTAGTCAAAGGTCACTTCACTCACTTACAGTGCTCTAAAGGATGAAAAAGGGACTTGGATTCACACTTTGCCACAAAACTTGTATCTGTTCATATGATCATATGTTACCAACACAGCATTGCTCTTCTCATGGTAATAAAGAGCAGCTCTCACCTGGATGAGACTTGTACTTCTCCTGTTTATCTAGTTCTGCTGGGGAGGAAAAAAAAAGTATCCTGTCAATGGATGTCCATCTTTCAACAGTGTCCACACCACAAAACTGACAAACAACAATAAAAAGAACAAAGATCACAGCAGCAAACAATAGAAGCAAACTGTTCATGCAACTCAAAGTCTAAGCCAGTAACCATGACTCAGGGACGCAATAAGACGCAGAGGTCAAGCTCCAAAACTATAAAAGACATCACTGTTGTTAAAAACTTAACACCAGCAGGGATGGGGTCTCTTTCCACTTCCTAGCAGTCGTACAGAGACAAACATCTGAGGGTCCTGTAAGCAAGTAGTACAAATTCAATGCAGTCTGTAATCCTATTGCAAAAAATCAAAGAGGAAGCAGTGGGTGACACAGACCTTTCTTGGAGCGTCTGGGTTTTGGAGGAGGGACGGTTTGGCGGCGTGGAGGTGGAGAAAATGTGCCATTTCCTTAATAAAAATTCAAAAAAGCAAATAAATAGACAAGAGAAACAGACAGTGAATGGAAAGTGAAAAGCATCTTGAAGAGCGAACAGACAACAGAGTGGTATGACATGCTTCCCCTGGGAAGCAGACACCATGATTTCTGTGCACAGAGCCCCAGTCTCCATTTACCATGTGTGGACTCAGATGAAGCATGATCCACATCCTAAGTATACAGAGAAATCCAACCTGCATTTTTGCCCATTAATGATATCACAGTATACAGCAGACAAACTTCACTGCTTTGCTGCATTTTATCCTTCAGAAGGAGCATGAGAAGGATAAAATAAAGTCTTTGTACCATCAATACCTGGAAAAAGCCAAGTGAGGGATATCCTATCAGCTCAGGTGTGAAGGGACTTTTAGCTAGAGCGAAAACTTCTGCACAGAGCAGGGTCAATACTGCCTTTGGACCAGGCTGCTCACATCTCTGTCTCATTGGGTCTCTTCTCCTGGCTAACGAAGCCACACTCCCACAGCCCCTCTGTGCAAACTATTCAAACAAATCTACTGCCCCTGCAAACTGCGTGGCTCTTCAATGCTTGAAAATGTCCCTTGAAGTTCCAGAAGAGTGAAAAGAGGACTTCTGGAGAAGACAGTATATGCATTCCTAGGGAATTCCACAGCTGAGCCTGCAGGAGCTCCCATACCAACCACTCCAAGGCCCTCCCTTACTTACAAGGCAGCAGGAAAACAACAGCCTAGTTGCCTTTGTTTTTTGTGCCCACACTGCTGTGAGGTGTGTTTTTTACCACCACTGCACTTCTGAAAACACTCAAATCCATTGTTTCCTGCAGTCTCAGAGCTACTGAGGTTTCTATTTTGAGAGCATGCAACAGGGTGAGGGACAGAGAGCCCTCTACATCCACAAAGAACAAAGGCCACCACAGGCATCTGGCCACCTCTGAGCACCAGAAGATAGACTCAAGAGATGCACTATAAATGTTCCGAGTGTGAGGAAAAGCCTTACTAAAATCTCTGCTCCCCCTAGATGTGAGAGGGGCCATGAGTCACAAACCCATCAAAAAGCACTCAGTCACAAGATGAAAGGTACTGACTGTGTGCCTCAGGACTCACAGGACCCTCGAGACACGACACCACCACTGCAGATTCTGTTACTCAAGCAGGGTCACCCCTGCAGGCTCAATTACAAACTTGCAGAAAAAGGGAGAGCACGGAAGTCAGAACTGTGCATTCAGGTTTTGGGGGCAAGCCCTAGGGATCATTTGGGTGGGCTCCATCAGCTGCAAGGCTTAACAGTGTGACTGAGCTTTCTACATTTCAAAGCCAGCACAGCACACACATTAAGAAGATACAGTACCTATGCTGTCCATTGGTGGGTCAGCAGGAAGGAACCCTTGCTTTAGGAGCTGCATCTTGATTTCATTATTCTCCACCTGGACTTCAGATACCATGTTACAGGGTATGTATCCCTCTCTTCCTGCACATTCACCCCTGTAAAAGCCATCAGCATCCTTGTCTCCGCACACCTGCAAGGCAAAAGATAGGCCAAGGATTGTTGATGCTGCAGGGACCAAGACAGAAAGAAATGAAGAAAGGAAATCCAAAGAAACTCCCAAGATGAGGGGGCTCTGCCTCCCAAGGTTTATGCTGCCCTTGGAACAAGAAATGGATCCATACAGAGCAGATGTTCACCAAGGTCTGCTCCTACCTTCAGGATCTGCCCCTCCTTAAACGGGAGCTCCTCTTCTGCCGCATCAGGGTTAGGAGACATGGAAACAGGATCATAGTCAAACAGGGCCACAAATATTCTAATGCCATCATCTTCAGCAGTGGTTTCTGAAGTAGAGATCCTTGGAGGACCTAGGCACAGTCAGAGGACACACCAGAGATAATGTCACCACCATTTCCCTGTCACAGACCCGCATGGCTCAAGTACTGCCCAGCAGTCCCCCTGTGCAACTTCCAGCAGCCCCTCTCTCTCTTGCTGCCCAATTCTTCCCTCTTTCTCCACTCACCTGGACTGGAAAGCAAAGGTTTCTGCATTTGGCATCTTCTTAAGCTCCTGCTCCCTCTTCTGCTGGGAGTCTGCCAGGCAGCCGAGCCAGGCAGCTCCTGGCCCCTAGGATCTTTATTACCAGACGCCTGCAATAGGAACCACCATAGAGTTAGTAGCAGCCTCTGCCTTCCAACTCACGTGAACAGCGCTCAGCCCAAACGCACTCCACAAAGAGCAGTGCATCCAAATGCAACATTCCTCTTCAGGAACACACTAGAGCTGAAAATGCTATGGGAGTTGGAAAAGAGAGCTAAAAGCAGACAGGCACCCTGCCTGACACCAGTGATGTGAGGATGCAGGAAAGGGCATTTCAAGGGAAGGCAATGACATTACAGTCATCAACTACAGAAAGCTTTCATGAATCAGCTTATTTCACCAGGGATTCTCATCTGGGTCCCACAGTCTCTTGCTGTAGGTAGGAAGACCCAGTGTGAAAAGGAATACTGCATCGGTGACACTTGACCATTTGGCAGGAAAAGCAGAAGCAGCTAATACAAGAAAAGCCATGGAGCAGCACAGAACTACAGAATCTACCAGATATTCTTCCGAATGATCCTAGAGAAGGGTCCTTTCTCTGGACAACACTGAACAAAGCAAGATACAGGCAGGCCAGGGAAGCAGAAGGGAAGCTAACACCACTGCAAGCTGCTTCAAAGCCAGAATAGGAAAAGTCACCCAACCCTTTTGTGCAAGGAGGTGCTACGTATCCCCTTCCAAGGATGTTCGAGCCTCCTTCTCCAGCCAGGTGACTTACAGTCCTGCTCCCAGCCTTGCTCCTCAGAGCTGCTCTCACACCTCAGTGCTTCCTTCTCCTGGCAGAAGGATCGCAGGCGCCGGCTTGGAGACCCAGCCCACTCCATACCCTGCTCTTCTACTCTTTCCAGTCTGGTCAGGTTCCTTCTGCCATCTGTGTGAATAACCTCAGATTGACTGGAACAATCGCTCCACTCCCCCTGACAGTTCTGGGCCCTTTCTGGCCACAGCCTGCTCTCAGGAGGGGATGAACAGGTTGAATCCTGATCGTCTTCAGAGTCATACTCAATGTCTATTTCCAGGCTCCTGGAGCTGGAGCAGTGTGCTGCCATCCCGGCAGGTTCTGCAAACCCTGAAACCACTGTTTTCCCGTAGATTCTTCGGGAGGCGCTTTGCCTAGCACGAGTGTATGCATCAAACCCCTCCTTACCAGCAGAGCTGCTCACAATGTTCAGCTCCTCCCGGAGGCTGGGAGCTCTGTACAACCCGCCTCCCATCTGGCTGCAGTTGCCCAGCAGACGACTGCAGTGCTCTGTGGAATCATTCTGTCTCTTCCTACCCATCTCAGGTTGACCCCGGATCTTCTCTCGATAGTTATTTCCCTTCTTCTTGCTCCGAGTGAGGCTTTCCCCGCTCTCGGACTTCAGATCATTCTCCTGGTAGCCCCAATTCCAGTTTGCCCTTTTCTGACTCCAACTGGGGCTCATGTGGTCAGCACTCCCTCTACTCTCCTTAGCAGTCTGCTCGTCTCGTGGAGTCTGAACAGACAGATCGGGGGAGGAATCACTACCATCTGCCTTCGGAAATGGATCCTGGGTGCTCAGTGGCTTCTCAGACCTTCCTGCAATGTAGGTAGGTGCTTCCAAGGAGCCTTGAGGATTTTCCTTTTCCTCTGTAACACATTTCTCATCCTCATCTTCATCCTCATCCTCATCCTCAGTCACTTCAGGGATGCTAAACAATTTCTTGCTGTGGTTCTTCTGAAGCGGGAGCTCTAGTATCCTTTCCAGAATCTCCTCATCGCTGTCAGTATCACAAAGATCCATCTGTACCCAGCCCCCGAGAAAAGCCACAGCCAGGACAAGCAAGGGAAAAAAAGAGAGGAAATATGCATTAAAAAGAGAGATTAAGTTACAGATGATTCCCTCCCAGCACAGCGATATGGAGCGGCGACTGTGGGCTGCAGAGAAGCAAGGGCAGGAAGCAAACGATAGCAATGGGTCTTCTGGCAAAATCAGATGAACTGGCAATGCAGTGGGAAGCAAGAAAGGCCAATGCATGGAAGAGCTCCCTCCCAGGCCCTGCCTCTACACAGACAGCTGTCTGCAACACCCTTTGTCCTGCTTGCAGGACCACCCCATAGCTCCAGCACTCCCAGTCTGGATGGGGGACAGGAGCTGCACAGTTCCTCTGCAGCTGCTCATTGCACACACACTCACAGCCTGTGACCATAACAGAACCCACAGTTCTCCCCTATCTCTCCATCCTCACAATGGAACGTAAGGAAATGACCCTGCACAGCAAAATCCTATAGCTCCAGGGAGACATGCATGCTTCTATCTCACTTGAAAGTTTGGAAAGAGCCTACAGGGTCACAAAAATCTTTTGGAAAAACACTACTGAATTTTAAAATTTGTTTTAGAAAAACTATCTATGTTATGTTTTGCCTCATACTACCTTTATACTAAAATAAAAAGGTAGAATCCTAGAAACAGAGCATAATTTAGGCTAGAAGAGATCTGTATTCCAACCTTCCTAACAGTTTACATCATGATATGTTCTAAAAACATTTATAGTTTACAAAACATATGTAGCTACTGATGCTTTAAGCTACAGCCATGAGGATGCCAACATAGAGAAAACTGAAAACTGAACCACAGAGGGAGAAAAAAACAGTTGTAAGCTGTCTGATGATCACTCCATCCTCCATAACTTTTTCCAAACAAAAGCTGGTCTTGAATTGTATTTAAAAAGAGTTAGAAGGGACCTCTGGAGATCTCTGGTTGAATCTCCTTCAAGGGCAGGACCACAATCTAGTGCAATCTACTTGCCAGCAAGGCTTTTGCCAACACTAAAGCACTGTGTTGTGTAGCTGAAGATTGAAAATGTCAAAGAACAGAGCTCCTCCATCTCTGACCCATGACATCTGTCCCCAGGTTGCAACTCTCACCTGGGAAAAGATTTTGTACTGCTGTCCAACATGAACCACACTGCAACTTGTGGCTGTTGCCTGTTTCTGTACTATTTGCCACCAACAAGAAGACTTCAGCACTCTTCTCCTTGTAACCATCTTTAAAATAGTTGCAGGCAGCTACTGGATCTCCTCTTTGCCAGACCAGTTTTGGGAAGTTTCCCAACACTCTCCCCATAGGACACACAGTCTAGATTCCACCTTTTAAGCACTTGTTAGCAGCAATTATTAATACACAAATTCATAAATGCAACCATAAAAATCAGTCCAATAAGACTTATTTTATCCATTCATGGAGCTGTGGCCTTTGCTTTTGAGTTTTGATACATTAAATGTTTCTTAGGAAGTTGAAGCTGCAGCTGTGTAAATGTAAAGAAGTGAAAGAAGGATAATGAAATTCTATAACATGAGAATGATCTGGGACTCTGTAGTCCACTAATAATCAAGAAGAAAACTAAATAATCTATTAGAGGTCAAACATACATAATCTATAATCAGAGCCCCTCCATTCCTTATCCTACAAATCCTAAAAGAGTTGGCTGAGGAGACCTTAAATAAGCCAGAATGTTACTGAGTATGCAGAAGCCTAGGAAACAGCTCTGCTGAGGCTTGGCTGTACTTCTGCCATCATCTTCTTCCACACCACAGAACAGTGCAGGAGCCTGTGCCTTGTTTTTAGCCACCAGGCTCTGCTCAGGCTCCTGACACGCTGCTCTGCAAGTCCAACCTCCCCAGCCCACCATCAAGAAGGAGAAAAAGAGCAGCAGCATCACACATTCTGCTACTGACTATTTAATGCTCACTAGATCCACTCCATCTGTGTTGGAGGCTATGAGCTATACAGGTCAGCAGCAGTGAACCACATCTGTTCTACATAAATTAGGATGCATTCTTTTAATAAAGACAGACCAGACCACATTTCCTTCAAATCTTTCTAATTTCTCAGCCATTCACCCTTAATGCTTTCCCTCATGCATACTCATTTCAACTGTCATAATTTGTATGATTACATTCTACTTTCCAGTCATGCAGATTTAAACACATTTCCTGATGCAGATGCTTTGTAACACTCTAAGAACTTTTAACTGTTTGAACTTGTAACATGTATAAATCTCTCATGGTTTCACTTTACTAGTCTTTCCTCACTTGTAACATCTGAACTGCAAAGTCATGGCATTGCTCCCACATTCAATCCATCCTCATTGAGAGCATGAAGATCTAAACAAAACCATCTGAACAAAGTTATTCATGTTCAGGAGTGTTTGCAGGACTGAAACCAAAGTATTAATGCCTCTGCTTTGCTTTTGGAAGGATGGTGGATTGGGACGAGATCTACAGATGGGCAGACTTCACAAACTCCTGTGTGCTCACTGTTTACATCTATATTAAGAACATGATCAATAGGATTGATTTTTCACCCTGGGTTCTAAAGTTCACATTACACTGTGTGTTTTTCCAACTAATTAAACCCTGAGTACATTTATTATTTATAAACACCCCCCCCTCTCACAGAGAACTTGCATTTTACTAGCATAAGACAACACTGAGAATAAAAGAAGAGCAGGCAGGAATTTAGCCAAGCACTGCTGAGAGTGCTGGGCTCAAACCAGCATCTTCTTCTGTGAGCTGATGACATGGGATGGCTGCACTGGCACTCCCCACAAGCATAACTCTGCTACAGGTTACCTTCTCCCCATTCTCCCTATAACAGGGCTCTCTTGGATCCCATTTCTTCTCATCCAGAGCTTCTGAAGACAGTTCATCTTCCTCTTCCTCCTCCAATATATCTGAAAGGTCTGAACTACGGTTGTGCTCAGCAAAAAGAGTCAGCTGTCGTCTTCCTATTTCAGACATTTTTTCTTCTTGCTGTGGAAAAGCAAAGCAGATTTCTTTCAGGCACCCTCTCTGTTTGAGCATTCTTTCACTAGTACATGCGCAGGTCAAGTGTGGCAAGAAACAAAATGAACAGCACTCTGTGCAGCAACTGGTACATGCACACACAAACATGTGCATAGACACACAAAACTGATGGACAGATTCTACTGCCTGCAAAGAAAAGCTTCACTTGAAACTGTAAAACTTAGGCACATCAAATACAATCCACATCCTCTCCATTGGCAGAAATTCAGCCAAGGTAAAAACAAACCTCTCTTTTCACTCTGGACATTTCTTTCATCACCTCCTTGCTAGGTGACAACCTCAGGAACTCCTGGCAGCTGCTTCCACCCATGCTTGCATCTCGGGAGGTGCCCTCCATCTCCTCAGCCTGGCTGGGGGAGGGCAGGGGCTCTGGACTCAAGTTCTTCTCCTTTGCTTCTGTCTCTCTTTCAGCACTGGGACTTTTTGGTGACTCCACAGAGCATGCATGGCAGGTCTCCATGCGTATCTTCAGGTTACTGTTAGTTGGGCTTTCTATCTCTGGCATTTTGGTCATGTTTTGCTCCATCTGGGAAGCAAACAAAAAAAATTCATCACCAGGATAACCAGAGCACCTATTGCAGGACCCTTCCTGAGACCCCAGGTGCATGCCCTATTTCTGTTCTTCTGCAAAGGACCATTAAGGACAGTTCGAGATGCTCAATCTTGGTGTCTGTGCCAGTAGCCCAGAGACCAACAAGTTTGTGGCTCTCCTTCCTCTCAGCCCCTTCTTGTCAAGGAGCAAAGAAACTCAGGGGAGGCACCATCCAATATTTGTGAGCCAAAAGGGCCTTTAACTCCCAAACTGTCATAAACACCACCTGTTCTGAGTCAGTGTAGGAGGATCCTGGCAGTCAACTGGTAGCCTGAAAGGTTGGCCAGTTCTGAACTAACTCCTCCCTACCATTAATTGCAAGTGGACACAGGGCACTTCTACTATATCACTGTGCTTTGCACACTGCACAGCCCTGCACAGTTTTACAGCAGCAAGAGCAAGGTGAGTCCAACCTACACAACCGGGCCATTTCTCATTCTCCCATTCCAGAGGAACATCCTAAGAAAAAGCTTACAGCATAGCTTGAGCTGGAGGTGAGGGCACTACCCCAGCTCTTCTGGGAGCTGCTGAGTGCTGTGAAGAGTATACACAGAGAGTACAACTGTGTACCAACAGCACAGTAGTTAGGTCACTTACTTAAATTACAGAGATTTTAAATCTTGCTTTCTGCCCAATAATTGTTTCTGCCTTTTATGACCAGTCATCTTAGTCTGGTTTTTAGGGAATCACTGGGAGATGGAGAAGTGAACCCCAAAAAATGATGAGAGTAAGGCAGGTGGGCTTTCATCAGTCACCTCCTTTGCTAGCTAGTTATCTAAAAGACAGTTGCACTGCAACAGAGTGCAACTGTGGCGTAGCCATACTTTGAAGATGTCTACACGAACAGACTCCTGAGGAGATTTACACTGCAGTTTCAAAATGTCCCCTGGCTCAGGCCAAAGTTAGGCAAGCCTGGACCTCGTATTTAACCTACCAGGTAGACTCCTTCTGCCCCATTTCCCTTTGTTAACAGCTGAATGAAGACAGACATCTCAAGCAACAAAAATGATTTGTGTCTCAGGAGCACCAATTTTGTTCTTCTGACTACCAAGGAGGGAAAGCAACTCAGTCATGTGCAGCCATCTACACCAGACATCTAAATGTGGGCAAATGAATCAAAATAACTGACTTGTGGTGCCAGAGCAGCAAATGAGTGGGGCATGAAAAATGACAACTGTAATTCAATGTCTCATTTCTATTAAGCATTTTTGTGACCTTTGATCTCGGACCCACACAGCTGCTGACGCTCTAGCAGTTAAAAAAGTCTTCCCCCCTTCTATCCAGCTCTGAGCTCACACTGCCTTGATTAACAGTCATTTTGAATTTGATGGTCTGAAGCACTCTTGTGAGCCTCTAGTCAGCATCAAAGGTGAGAATGGAGAAAAGATAACTTTCCCTGATATAACACCTCACATACCAATAGGACCTACTTCCCTCTCATCACAGAATGAGCACCTTACAGACAGTTCACCTCTTTTCTCAAAGACCTCCCAGACACTTCTCACCACCATCTTAAAAAAGCCTTGAAATCACCCATCTATCCCAGAGACTCTCAAATGCCTAATGTCATGACAGCTTGCCAACTCTCCTCCAGACAAGGCTGCCTCACTGGGCAACCCACCAAGGTGCCCCCAGCTGCTGGAGTGTCTGCTCTGCAATGCCCAAATCCACTAGACTGTAGATGACACCTGCAAGTCAAAGACCACAGCAATGCCTAATCAACACTGACATCACCATTAGTGGGAAGATCCCTTTCAGCACCCAGCCCTGAGGAATTCATGCTTTCCTGATTCTGTTCCTGACCTCCTGGTACACATGTGACCAAGCACAGAGATTCAACTGCTAAACAACAACAAACACTCTACTGGTTTGCCAGCCACTAGATGGCTGCATGCTAGCAGCATGCTGTTACATTCCCCTAAATGGTTCATTCTCCTTCCCAGCAGTACTGGGCAGGAGATGTTATGCACTTACCAGCACTTCTGTTCCTTCACCCAGGCTTTTCAGTTCTGCTTCCCTCGAGGAGATAGGCTCTGTGCCCTCACCCGGGAGCTCTGTGCTGTCCGCTTGCTGAGGAGGCACAGTCAGGCATTTCTTGTCTTGTGCAGCGTCTGATCCCTGCAGGGAAGTGCCTGAGGTGTGTCCAACGCTTCCTCGGTGCAAAGAGAGCTGCAGCAGCGAAGAGGCTTTCTCTGGCAGAGATTGCGCTGAGCCATCGTGGCTGGAGGAGAGATCAGTCAATTTGGCATCTGAGCTATCAGTGGGGGCTTTTTGTTGAAGAAGGAGCACAGCTGCCTCATGTGTGGGTGGGCTGCGTGCAGGCAGAGAGCCCCTGGATTCTCCACAGGGCAGTCTAGAGGTAATAGTAGTAGAAACAGCAGAATCTGAAGGTGAAGAATGATGAGAGGCTCTCAGCAAGACTGAGGAAATCTGGGCTGGAACTGAATCCACTGATTCTCCATACAGGGACATTGTTCTCACGGAAACCTCCCGGCACACCTGGAACATCTGAAGCTGGGACAGGTCCACAAGGACACTCCCAGCTGTTGGAGAAGTAACTTCTATTGCCTGCAAGCAAAGAACCAGGAAGCAGTTAATTACAGTGTGCAGCCCAGTATTTCTGAGAAGGGCAGTTCTTGAACCCAAAGTTAGCTAAAGCTATTTCCACCCTTCTGCACAATATCAGCAAATGGTACCAAGAAATTGCTGCTGTCACTATCTGAGAAACTGGATATTCTATAAAGTAAGACTGTCTTCTATTCTGCTCCAGGTGTAAACCATTTTTGTTCACTGCACTTTAAAAGTCCACCTTTTTTTTTGCCTCTTTCACTCTGGCAAAACTTTTCCATATTTGTTTTTTGACACATGCTTTCCATGACAAACAGCAGTCATCCAACACGGCATCACTGTTTAGTGTTGTGCTCCTTTCGGGAGCTGTGGTTTACCTCTCCCACAGCTGATGGCACACCATCATGCACACATAAAACTGCAGGCCACCTGCAATACAGAAAATCCTTGGAGGTTCTTTATTGGTATTCATATTGGGTGTTTAGGCATCTCTCCCTTCATCTACTCCTAATTTAAAGAACTACACCTCACTCCTCATAGTTTGGAGACAAGTCCCAAGCTCTGGCAAGGTTGTCTGCTTCTTTCTGCCCATGCCCACAGAAGTTATAACTCACTGTGACACTCAGCAGTGTTCTTTGTGGATTCTCACTGTTGTCACTTTGAAACAGTCAGAATGTGTGTTCCCCACAAACCGACTGCCTCCCCAAGAATCCAGACAGTGCCTAGAGTGAGACAGAGGAGGCTCACACTGATTGTCCAGTTTTGCTGGTGAAGGGTCCTGTGATGGAAACTTTTATTGTTCAGTTACATCAAGAGTATATCAGCAATCTTGACAGATGCCTTTTTTTTGGTAGGCATCAGCCAAAAAAAAACCAGCCCAAGCATTGTACCTTCTCTGATATCATTCCCCTCACCTTCTGTCCATCCGCATACACAGCGTAACCGGTGACTCGAACTCCGTTGGAAGATCCTTCAGCATCAATAGTGACAGGTAACCAGCTGATAACGAGGATTCCTGGAGAGGGACCAACTTCTACCTGGACATCCAGAGGAGCATCAGGTGTGCCTGGGAAAGATCAAAAGGATCGTTTTCTTGCTTACCTCACTACGGCATAACACCCAACTAAACCCCGGTTTGTATCTAAGAGAAAACTGTCACACCAGACTTGCTACTGCAGAACTGCACTGGAATGACTACACTAGCTTCTTGGGAAGTGATAGACAAACCAGAACAAATAAGGTGCTCTGATTCTGGGAAAGCTTTAAAGCACAGAAAACAAAACTTTGCAAAAGTAGCTGAGGCCAAGATGCAGCAACCCTTAGAGCAACATGAGTGCAGGTCACAGCAAACCAGATTGTTCATACCCTAAGAGGCATGCTGCTCAAATCAGCAAAGGGGAGGTCTCTCAAGAGCAAATGAAAACAGAAGAGATAATAAACTCTTAAAATAAAAGAAGAAAAATATTAAGACAAAACAGGATATCTCCTCATGCTTTGGGACCTAATAAGCTTTGCTTCTGTTCACCCCAAGGCATTACACCAAAGAACTGACAAAGCTTTCTGTCCCAAGCACTTCCTTCACAATAGCAATGGGCACAACTACTCTGATACCTGCTAGTGGGGTAGTGAAGTGTATCACAGCTGAGTTCTGCTCCTGCCCCTCTGAGACCTCTTCCCAGAGTGTTTTCAAGGGACGGGCCTCCAGCTTGGCAACATATTGAGTGTTGGGCTGCAGGTTGCAGAAGGTGTACCAGTAGACCCCTGGTTTTGTTATGTCACACTCCTCCCCATTCAGATACACCGCGTGGTTGTAATTGCTGTTGCAGGGAAGCCACGAGACCTCTGCTGATGTGGCAGTGACGTTTCTGACTTTCAGCATAGTCGGTGCCACACACAAATCTTGCCCCACAAAGAAAGTGCATCGCAGTTTATCAGAACTGCCCTTCTCTGTCACACTCTGCACAGACACACGGTAAGCCTTTGTCTTTAAATCCAGCTTTTCAATCACTGCTTTGGTCTGAAAGCCACTCTTCACATTTTGACGTAGCTCTTCATCCACATAGATATTGTAGCTCTGTATGTCTGGGCAGCCAGCAGGCAAAAGTGGTGGTTCCCAGCCTACAACTATGCTTCTGGCAAGCTGCTTGATCAGAGTCAATTTTCTTGGGTAAGGCACTGCTGTGTGACTAACACGTTCCTCCTGGTCTCCTTCTGCTCTACTGACCAACGGACTGATGCTACTCTCTTCAATGGAGAAATCACTCTTATCTCCACTGCTGGTGCTTGCACTGACAAAACTTTTCTCCTGGTATGAACTATGGGTGAGATCATTCAGCTCCGAAGGCAGAACCGTCATGAGGTCATCATCTGAAACTCGCTCAACAAAATTGGAGGGGACCAGCCCTCGCCGGCCATCCATCAGCTCCCCTAAACAAAAAACAGGAAACCTGTTACCACTGCACCTACCATTCAATCTTCCAACCCATCTGTGAAGACAACCTGACAACATCTATACTAGATTATAACTGCACTGCAGTCAGGAACAAAGAAAGCTCTCTGGGAGGTTATCCTGGGCAAGTTTACTCAATTTCCTAGAGCTGCTCTACTTACATCCTGATGTCCACTGTGAGAAAACTCACTGCTCTACACACTACACAGTGAGCTAAGAAAGTGTTTTATGTAATTAGCTTCATGTTTTTCCCTTGTTCATTATTCTGTTATTTCTGAGCACAGCTCTTTCACTAACTTCAATGTCTTTTTTTCAAGTTTTCCCAAACTATGCAGATTATACATCTTCTCCCAGCCAAAAATATTTGGTTTTCACAGTAATTCCTCGTGAAAGTCCAACTTTCCATCTCTGTATTCAGATCTGGCCTCCTGTTTAGTTCCCTCCATTGTTGTGTCAGCTTATGTAATAAAGATGTCCCAAAAAGACCCACTGGGATGACTGAGACCACAATATTCTTGATACGTGCAAGAACCATCAAATCAGTGTCAAATGAGCAGTGCGTAGGGGTTGTACATAATTTCACATTCTACCTACAGCAAATCAATTGAAAGCAGGGAAAGCAGAAAAGATTAGTAAAGAATAACCTGTTTATTCTTTAAACAATAAATAAACAAATAAATGAGAAGCTTGGAAATAGAAGGAATGAAAGAGCAGAACAGTCAAGGAGCAAGCAGTGCAACATGGCATGCATTTGCCTCAGCTCTTGCAAAGCGCCTGAGTAAATCAGGACCCTACATCTACAAGGAAACTTCATTACAAATTTACAGTCCAGAATTCTTGCTTTCCATTCCATCTGCCTAATAATCACCTGAGACCATGTTTTCAAAAGAAAATTTGTCAATAGAGAAACTCACTGTATAATACCAAACAGGACAAATCATGGTTTGGGCTGCTTAGCTTACACCTTATTTGCCAAAAAGAGTACAAGGTAATCAAGACTATCAGTTGCCCATGGTCTTGGGTTCAATATGCAGCCACTGGGAAGAGGGGAAGAGACTACCTAGAGAAGGAATCCATGGGCTATCCTTGGATAGGGAGGAACAACACGCAGATGAAACCTGGAACTCTGTTGAAAGTAGTGGCAAAACTGACACTGAATTCACTAGACCAGGATTTCATGCTTTAGACTTAAATTAAGCATGACATGAATCAACTCTTCTAACAGGTCCTGCTCTCCCCTCTATTAAGCTAACTTTGGACAGAAAACATTTATCTTGAGGTTTTATGATTCACTAAATTCCTCTCTCATTTTTTCTTTTTAAGAGAGCAAATCTCCACTGCAGTTCAGTCACATTCCTTTTCCACTAGAACACACCTTCAAAGAAGCCATCTTCATCCATGTCTCCATAGATGTAAATGTACTCTCCAGCAGTTAGTGGAAGCTCTGCCTCTGGATTTTCATTAGGTCCATCAAAAGGATTGTAGCTGAAATAGTTACAACATGAAAACTCACTTCATACACCAGTTTTCACAGCAACACCTTCAAGCTGTGCTGTTGGATCAGCTTACAACTCAGCAGCAAATTCCACAAAGGTCGAGACTTCAGTTCTGTGTGTTTGTATACAACTAATACCATATTGCTCTGTGTCCAAATAGCAGGTAGGAAAGCTTTTCTGAGTAGCAGAACAGATCAGAGTGATTCAAGTAAGTGTTTATATGAATTACCTGAGTGCCTGAATGTGTCAAGTAAGCTGTAGGACTGTACATTTCTAATTAGACATCCTTGAATTCCCTTGCATCTCTTAAATCTACACATCACCCTACATTTCTTGCAAATAAGAACTTTGAATCAAAGTGCCAAAAGCACATAGAATATACTTTATGCACCACAAAGAATCTCAAAATTCCCATATTTAAAACCCTAAGAATGAGTTGATTTGTGCAAGAAGAATGTTGTGTATGAATGAAGAAAACATTTTCTGCCTTTTACTTCCTAATTATCCAGTCCTTTGCTTTCAAGTTATGCAACTCCACACTCTAAATGGCAGTCCAAAAACACATTGAAGTGGTAAATAAGTATGTTGGAGATAGGTGGCAGGCTCCAGGTAGTTCTAAGTCACCTACCACAAGTTTTTGAGCTGATCAGGAGGACTTTTAGAGGAAAGAGTCACATGAGAAATCTTGTATGCACCTACTGTCAACATCTGTTCTTTAGTCTTTGGAAGGGCTTTCAGCATGTCAAAGAAATGCTATCCTCTCTGAGCTGAGTGAGACTTTACGGGCCTAAAAGTAGCACATGAAGACAAAGATCATATTTGATCTGCTCCTAAAAAGTGCAGAATCATCCCTCTTCCTCCCAGTCCACAGACTAAAAGCTGAATGACATGGCAGTATTCTAGGAATTGTAGAAGAGGATTTGGTTTGACCATAGCAGCTCAACAGAAAGCAACAATGATCTGAAAACTCTGGCCTCATTCTTTGCTTCTTCGTTACTACATTCTTTAACAATCAACATGGATTTCAGCTAAAAGCTTCGATTCAGGAATTCCGTGCTGATGTTTTCTTAATTGGAATAAGATTTCCTTGGAGAAAACCACTTAATCCAGTAGAAATCAAACCAGGGAATGGATCAATTCAGATCTCTATTTTCCATCCAATACTATTTTCGTAAGAAAAGTTGTGCCTTGAATAGCTAATTATCTTGCTATGTTTTTGTTGAGTTGTATGCACAGGATTTGCTTGTGTAGGAAATAGAAGCCACAAAAAAAAAACCCCAACCTAACAGCAATCCTTAAGAGCAGTTAATTCCACAGAACAAAATAACCTGCCTAACCTCAGGGAGCACAAGAGATGACATGATACCTGTATCGAGCCAAGAAGACCTGGAGCTTTGCAGGGCCTTGGCTGCCTGGCTCTGGCATCAGAGAGATGCTGTCAACATCCAGTTCTTCCATTTCACTTGCAGTGTCCACCTAAAATTATAAAATGAAAGATGAAGGATAAGACATGGCCAAAATCATAATAAAGGAGCACTCAAAGAGTCCTAACAGCAGTGAACAAATCCTCTAAGCTTATGTATGTGGAGAGTTTGGCCACTAGGATAAGGGCTGTCAGGAAGTATGATTTTTAGAGTGAAAAAGCAATACCAAGAAACACAGCTCCAAGCTGTAATTTCAACAGTTCCAGGTGAACATTAGCAAAAGCTATTCACTCAAGAAGGTAATACAACCTTGGGATGTCCATAGAGCTGAGTGATCTCCTATTGCTCTCTAAGCCTCAGCTAAATAAAGCCATGGGCACACTGAGACAGTGCTGGTGGCAGACCCAGTGTGAGTGGGAAACCAGTCGAGATTCTTGAAGCCCCTTTCACCCTACATATCTGCAATGCAGTATAATCACTTCCTCCTAGATCCAAGTTTTGTATGAAATACAAATGGTAATCTGAACAGAGGCAAAATGATAGTTGTATTAGATCTCTGCAATTCAGGCAGTCCCCTGCAGCACCTGCTTATACTTCAGTATAATGTTTATGTACTTTCAGAACATTAAAGTGCCCTACCAGCTCAGACCAAAGCTCTACCTAGTCCAAACACCTGGCTCTGATAACAGAAGTAGTACACACAGAAGGAAAACATACAAGAGGCAGAGCAAGCATGCAGTTCTCAACTTTTTGGTGCAGCTTCTCAGTTGGTAGCAGTGATCTACAGAAGAACTTCCTAAGCTAGGTCTGTACCATGAATGGTATTGCCAGTACAATCTTCCAGATAATTGTCTCAAGCTTTTATGGCTGACATTTTGAAACTTCACATCTAATGGCACTAAGTTACATAAAGCAATCATTCTTTCTGAAGAAATGCATTTCCCTTGTGTTTGTTTGAAATGCTGCCAGTGAATCAATTTCAGCTAATTTTAAAACACACCTCAAGGCAAATGTATTTCTGATGGAGGTCCATTGCAGATCTTTTTCTAGTACATGAACTGCAAAAGTTAATATTCTGAAGAGTTCAGAGACTCTTTTCAAGGTTTTGTGCTCCCTGAAATGGAACCCTGCACCATGCCCTGAACAAACAGCTGCACTCTGTAACACCCAAAGGTAGAGAAGTGGAATAGCTTTTAAACATGTCTAACACTCTGGAGTATTCCCATACTCATGTGCTGCTGAAGCCAAACACACCACAGATTATCTCCCGAAGAATGACTATTCTTACGTCTCCATGGAGACATGGTGGCTCAATTCTTCTTTTACACTGAATAACAGTAATTTGTCCCACTACAGAACTGGCAGCTGTAGGCAGTCAGATATGCATTCCTTTCCAGGTGTGACCTTCACTTTGTTGCTGAAGATGACAGCTTCTCAGACCTTACACAGTGGTGGAAACTGCCCGCTACAGCAGCATCTATCACCGGTGTCCTGGCTCTGTAGCTCAAGTCCTCACTGTCCTCTACTTGTATAATGAGGCATTCCACGTAGCCTCCAAGGATTTAGCACTCAGTAAACATCAGTGAATTAAGAAAAAGTGAGCTGTTTCCTACATCTTCATACCCAGCCCCGCTCACAGTGCTAGCTGTGCTAAGCTGTCACATCAATTGTACAGCAGTGTGAGACCCCTTAAATGAGTGAGACCCCATATATAACAGTTCTGGAAAAGAGAAGCAACTGCCATCTATTAGATCTTGGTGGCACTAACAGGCAAAGCCTATTAACTTCATCCCTTTGCTAGCTCAAACTCAGCATCTTCTCATGGTGTCTTACAACAAGAATTATCACACCTAGGAGTGCAAGCAAAGAATCTTGAATTCCTGAGGCACAGTCCTTCAGCATGCTGAAATTTTGTAACTTTCCCACTTGCTACCATGACTGAGGTGTCACGTGGTGTCTTAACGCAGCTTCCCTACTAATCCCTCCAACTGAGCTCCCCTCCTGCCTTCTCCTCCAAGCCCACTTGATTCCTTCCTAGAGCACTGCAATATGTTCAGATGAGCATTGCAAACGTGGGCATCCAAGGCCTTCTCAATTTTTCTTATAGGTTTTCACTTGTTTCATTACAGTTTTCTTTATTTAGCCAGAGAAATACAGGGTTCTCTGCAATGCACTTATTGGCTAGATAGGAGAGGCCTCAGTGGGAACTCCCATACCAACCTCTGGAGTTGGGCAGGATTTGGAGCTGTTCTGCATGGATTCTGATTTTGAAGAGCTTGACTGAGATTCAACTTTTTTGGCTTGTTTCTGAGAACTGGCAACAGAAACCGGGGAGCCAACAACAGCCTCAGGCACCCGCTGTGATGACTCCAACTCATTGGTCTCTTCATTGTGAGCCTTCTTTGTGCTCTGGTGAGCAAGCAATGCAGGACCAGATGAATCTGAAACAAAAGCAATCTATCCATTACTTTTAGCCACAGGCAAAATACAAGATCAGCAGTGAGCATCAGAATGAGCAAGGACCCTTCAGAGTAGCTCAAGTCTCTGTAAGTGAGATTCATTTAACAGTGCAACAGCCTTGGCTCCCTTTAGTCAGAGAAGCATCAGGTTCTCTCTGTGACTACAAAACGAACCATGAGTATTTATGAGAGAGATCCCAAGAGTTAACTAAACATTTGCATTACTTTCTTTACACCTTCTTTACAGCTTTACACCATCTATCCATGCTTGACAAAACACCCGCAGGCACCTCCAGCAATTACCCTTCTCCCAGTGAGGCTGTGGTGTAGAGCTGCACAGTGCAAGAGGAAGTTCAGAAGTCACAAGTGTGGAGGTGAGAAGGTCAATTTTTCCTGTTTGAAGTCGGAATTGTTTGAGCTCCTGGGACAGAAGGCTGAACTGCTCTGTTTGACTGCGGCATTGGTCTTCTAGATCCTTCACCCGAGCCTGATAGGAGAAACACAAGATGAGACACAAATCTGCCATATCAAAACCACCAGTGGGTCTCCAAACAGCATTCGTCTTTGCTACATCTGTTCAGAAACAGAGTAGGTCTCAAACTCCAAGGACCTAAAGGTATGCCCTGCCCAGGAACAGTCAGTAGGAACTGGCAGCACTACACCTACATTATCTTTGAAAATCTGTTAGGAGACTGATTACAAGCAGAATTAGGAATTATCCCTAAATGTTGAGTTTGAACTCAATATCCTAACTTAGCCCTGCACATGAAAGGATGAGAGAGTTAAAGACAAATAAGCCTTGGAAAGAAAAAGACCAATACAGCTTTGCAGGTTTATCAGAGCATTAATATCACACCTCCAGAAGGAACTGCTCTCCCAGTGCTCTCTCTCTCCATCACTCTAGCACTCCCAAGAAGCCCTCATGACCTTATCCTGGCCTCCTCACAAACCCTTCTGGGATGAACTCCCTACTGTCCCTTCAGACCTTGCCTCCTTCCAGGCACTAGCAAGGGCACAGAGCATCAGCACCCGGCCCACACTGCAGAACATCTGTGCGATGCAGGCAGCCCACACAATCTGCCTTCAGGTCCTGCAGGAATGACTTGCTGCAGGAAAACACAGGCTGAGTACAAGAAAGCTACATCTCAACAAGATGAGATCTGGGGGAGCACTGGGGAAATATGGTAGAGAGGAAAAGGCTAATTCCTGCTAGCTAACATCTGTATCTGTTTTCTAGTGTTCTCCTTCCACCATCTCTAGATCTCCCCATTCCAAAACACTGCTCAGTCCTGGCTCTCCTTACCAAGTCCCACATGCTCCCTGACTGCAAGCATTCCTAGGAGAATGCACCTGCCCCTTTCCCTCTTCTCACTCTGGCCACCATATACCTGCTTGCCCTGCTATCCTGGACAGATATCCTGTCCTTGCTGCTCATGCTCTTCAAGTAATAAACAAACATTAAGTATTAGTGCTGCTTGCAAATTTCCCAATTTCTTCAGTTGAATTCTGTGAGATAGAAAGTCTGTTTTTAAGCAACTCTAAAAATACCACTTCTGACCAGGAAAAGGGTTTCTTTGTGGTCTCAGAGTACTGCACAATTTTTCTAGCTTGCTCCCTACCACCTTCCAAGCATGCATGCAGTTTTATCTTAGCATAAAATATCTGTTTTAAACTTGTCAGTTTATCCCTTGTTTCCCATCAAGCAGTAGAAGCTCTCAGTCTTCAGAAACTGTATGGTGATGTCTCTGAAGGAGTAACTGCTTCTGCACTGAAAGAGACCAATACATGCCATGAGCAACTTCCAGAAGCATCTGCATTCTCCACTTGCTCAACTTGCTGCTGACTGAAGTCACATTGTGCAGGACTCCTTTGCAACAGAACACATACATCCTAGCAGACTACTTGCACAGGGTCATACATGGCTAGACAAGCAGCAGGTTTTAGGGCAGCGCTGGGAGGCCAGGGCACAAAGAAGAGGAGCCTAAAGACAAGGTCAGGAGCTGACAGAACCAGCAAGGATCTAGTCAGATAGAGGAGACTTCTGTGTCCACGTCTAACCCTAAAAGAAAAGAGAAGCCACACACCAACCCGAAATTAAGCAGTGCGATTACCAGAAAAGGCTGCAAGAGCAGGAAGCAGAGCTTGGAGGGCACAGTTTAACCACCAATCCAGGAATTTAATCTGAGTTTCCTCAATGAGCTAGACCCAGCTCAGCCTTGCTCTCTTAGACACTCTCCTGCTCTATTAGAACCTCCTCCTGTAGGTGTTACCCATGTTCCCCTTGCTACCTCTCTCCATTTCTTTTGCACAGTCATTGTTACCTGTTATTTATTCTCCCCATTTTTCTTCTTCTGCAGTCAGATCTGAAGGGGACTGCTGAAAGCTGTTTTCTATCAGATACAAACCCTGCTACTTCAATATAAGACCTTATTCTAAATCTGTCATGAACTAGCACCACTCCTGGACTGTAACACCTTAATTACTTCACTAGTTCCTGTTTCTTCCCTGACACTATTATTCACAATCTCTGCTTCCTATCTTCCAACCAATTACAAAACCAGCAGGATCTCTATTTTCTCTGTGACGCTTTCACGTTGCCATTGCTTTTAGGTTTTGAAGGAAATGTTTCATTCCTGGAATGCAAACAGTTCCCAGAAGACCTTCAAATGTATGCAGCACGTGGAAGAAGTGCACAGTTGGACAAAACAGAACTGTTTGAAAATCCCAGTAAAAGCTTCACATTCTAACTGGTTGAGAATGCAAAGCATTTGAACAGGAAATCCTCCTCTGTGCAACTCATTGTGGCAGCTCCTTTAATTACATTTATTTCTTGAAGGTGACACTCTTGCAATCTTTTCCAGAGTATAATTAAAACAGGAATACCAAGTAACTGTCAAAACCAGGACAGAAAGAAAAAAATGTCCTGCTTGACAGGATTATTGCAATACCTGCATGCAATCCAAAGTACTCTGGTAGCAAGGAGAAAAGCAAAAAGAGAGAGAAAATCACATCAGAGGCTACTCTAGCCAAAATCCAACAACCTGCCAAAGGCAACCCAACCCTCAATTTGAATGAGACTATTTTCTCACTGAGTTTGGGTCTGCCTTATTCTGTGCTGGGATTCCCACCCCCACACAAGCATGTTTTGTTAAACAAAAGCCAAATCCCACATATCAACTCCAAAAATGTGGTAACTATGCACTTTTTGAGGGTCTCCAAGTCACAATATACTTTGAACAAAAAAGATCAGCTGCTCAACTGAACAAAACAATTGCCCTCCTCCCTTCTCAGCACACAGATGTCTAGTTAAAATATAAGAGGCTGCTGCAATCCTTTGATGAATTAGTTCAGAAAACATTTTCCAAGAATGAAGCCTCCCCCCCTTAAAGGCTGCTTAGCAGCCCAACAAGTAAATACCAAAGGACATAAAAGCAGCACCTGTACCACCTCTGACCCTGTCTCTGCAGTCAGTAGATGTTCCAGAATGAACATGGAAATGTAACATTATATCACCTCACTTCCCTGCAATATTCACCCAACTTGCAACAATTTCAATGCCATCTAGTAGGAGCCTAGCACTCTGGGGATCTCCAATTCATACAGGTCATGCCCACTCAAGCCACAGAGAAATCTCCTCAACCAGTGACATTTAGCTCCTGCTCGATTCTCCTGAGCTCCTAACAACCACAGAGCTATTGCACAGCAGTGGACAAAGCAATTCAGCCTGTCATCTCTTACTGTGCGTCACCATTACAGACAGGCCATGGCCTCCTTTGTATGAAATCTCACTGTCCAGGTGCAAAATGAGGAACTCTGCTTTGTCTCAGGTATCTGAGTACTCAGAAAACCCCAGCGGACAGAGACAACAGAAGTTGCTCCCTGTGCCATCACACCTATCCCCCACTCTCTTCAGGCATGAAATTATCACATCAAGTTTCAGGGTTTGGTGCTCTGTCTTACAGCTCCAGGAACCCACAGCAAAACTTTTCTCCAAAGTCATCTTGGAGAAATCATTACTTCTGCCTGCCCTCATTGTTAAGCTGTGTGCCACCACGACAAAGTGAAGTCAGTGCTGATGTCACCACACTCACACAGTTGGTCCCAGACCAGCAAATAGGACAAGGTGCTGCCTCAAACTTTATCACTCATTATGCCTGGTCATCACTTAATAGGCAGTGATCATATTTCTCTTTATTTTTTTAAAAAAGCACAGAGCCTATGTATACAAAATAAATATCAAATGACATAGACATAAGTATTCTTCCTCCCTGCAAATGGCCCTGGAAATGGAGCAGGTGAATCTGAAGGTAGTTATTTAATGCATCCCTGAAACAGTTGCTGGGCACAGACTAAATGAAATAAGCTATTTGGTGACAGAGCAGCCTGGGATTTAACAGAAAACTCGAACTCCAATGACTATTTTGCCAGCACAGTCAATAACTGTACACAGCAGCTGTGTCAAATCAATATGGTGTCACATTCTACTCAAGAACCAATAAAATCCAGGGCATCAAGAAAACTGGCATTAAGAACAAACAACACAAAGCCTGAAGTTACTAATCCATCTCATTTCCTTTCATCTTACCTCTAGAAGCTGTACTGCTCCTTCATGTTCTCTTTTTGCCTCTGCCTGTGCCTGAGAAATGAGAGACAGAGTAAATAAGAAAGCAGCCTACCTAAACTCACCTTTACAACCACCACCACCTTCACAGACATCATTTCAGATTTAAAACACTATACCGACTGAAGACATCTTTGATCTATGGACAAATAGCAGTGAGAGATCAGAACTGCCACTCATGGGAAAAATCCCCCCACTTTACTCAGATACAAAAGTTGGCACACACACAGACATTCATCCCTGGCTTCCTTCATTTAGTAGACTTGCATATATTTCCTCTATACACCACTTCTACAAGGAGGTAAAATGCAGCAGTCCCACTTCTTTCCAGGGATCTAGAGAGTAAAAGTACCTTCTCTCCCATGCTGCATACCTGCTGCAACCGTCTGACTTCCTCTTGCTTCTCTTGCAGGACTAGCAGTGCTTCCTTGTGTTCAGCTTCCAGCAGCTGCCTTCGCTCAGCCACATCTCTCATGTGCTGCAGAACAATTCACAGACAGTTTAAGGGCAACATTACTGAAATATTGCCCTGCGTCCTATCATGAGTCATAGAATCAATACATGGCCTGTATTTCACACCATCATTAATCATAAGAGAAAGTAAGAAATTGTTACCATAAACCACAACAACATAAAGAGAATCCTTAAATCAGTGATGGCCACCTTATGTCTCCTCCCACCCATATCCAGGCTTTCCTGAGCCCTTCTGTTGACTTTGGAAGGCCACGTTCCAGGATACAGCATGGCAGAATCCCCAGAGAAGCACCAAATCAAAAGAATGGATTAGAAAAAAACAACAAAACAGAGACAATCTGTGCCATCAAAAACCAGCACTAAGGGTCTGGACAGTCCTCCCAGCTGTGTGGGTCCTACTGACCTTCAGCACCTGCTCTAGATTCTCCAGCTTGGTTTGAAGTCCTTGATTTCTCTGAATTACTGAATCCCGTTCCTTAGTAACCAAAACAACCTGCAGCTTCAGGTCAGCATTCTCAGATTCAACCTGAAGAGAAAGGACTGTCAATTAGCACAAGTAGCCATAGGTAATTGTTGTATAAATAATGGAGGGCAATTTACTTCCATATCTCAAGAGGTTGTTTTGCAGACCTGCTTCCTGCTTGTAATATCAAAATCACCAGCCTCCTCTCCCTTTGGTTTCCACTCAAAACAAATACTCATGTATTTATTTGCACACCCTGCTCCTCCCACTAGGCTCTCTGTTGCTGGGGTGAAGTAATTGGGATATGAAGCAGCTATCTGCTGAAGAGATACAAACAAACCACATAAGCTCTAAGAGCTTTTTTAATTCTAAACAGTGGGATTAAACAAAGAAAAAAACAAGATAATCTGTTGAAACTGCATTTACCTCCTCCATTTACTACTGGAAGTTCCACTAAAATATTTTGAAACTACAGTGCACAATGGCTTGATGACTACTAGCAATATTACCAAGTAAAGATAAACACCTGCACTAAGTATGCTACTTAATTCTTCTAAGCTAAGTTTTACAGAAGGTAATGTCCCACCTGACAAACAGAAACACTGCTTTTTACCTGTCCTGCCCATCCGGCCTTCTCATTCAGCTGCAAGTTCTCCTCGGCCAGTCGTGCATTTTCACTCTGTACCTCCTGCAGCTGGATCTCCTGTCAGAAACAGTAGGTGTCACTACACCAGTGTCCTCAGACTGACCCTCCCACCTTGTTCTGCAGCATGACTCCGCTGCTCCTGTTGACTGATAGTTCAGGATGCTGACAGGATGCTGCTTGTGCAATGAAAGGCATCAGTGGACAGCACTGCTCACGCAGATGTCAGCTTCAGTAGCAGATGTCCTCTTAAGTTCCTTTTCTCATTTATGTAGCCTCAAAACTCAGAATGAGAAAGCCATTTCCTTGAACACTATCTTCACCCACAATTAATCAACTTTCACTATCGGTTAAAAATCACAGTTTTCTCTACAAAGTTCATTCAAGGAAGAAAAAATTATTCAGAAAAATCAAAGAGAGTTCTACACTGTACAGTTTTAAATGGCTGTCTCTAGTTTGAAATCAGGATGCAGTTTGGAGTTGAGAAAGCAGTGTGAGCCAGCTATTACTCTACAATACAGAACATTGTCTCTTAGCAGAAGGGAGACCACAGACATACAGACAGACACTGTCTCTATTAGTTAAGTCTGGACTACCTGAAGCCCCTTTGTACAGCATTAGAAGAATGTGACAGTTTCATAATCGTAAAAGATTCCACAAAGACACACACGCATGTCATACATACATTCCCTCACACCACTGTTGGTTTGGATGGCCAAATATTTTCTCAGCATTACAAGAGCTAATTCCCCTTGCTGGTAGAGTCCCAGTTCCAGCTCTTCAAGGTGACTTGGTCCCTTCTCAATCTTGAAAAGCTGCTAACAACAGCTAACAACAATCACCAACGTATTCCTTAAGCATCCCATAGTTACTGAGATAGTGAGAATGAGCTATGGATATGTAGAACTGACTTGAACTGAGACTCAAGCAAGATGTAAAACCACTCAGAAGGTCAGTACCCATTGATGAATCCATAGCAGGCATGCTCAGTGCACAGGCTGTGTGCTATTAACCCTGGCTGGCCGGAAACCAAGCATGGGAGGGCACAGAGCAGTGCTAACTCATGAGATGGCAAATAATTGTATGCATTTTGGTACACTGGCTAAACACAGTACTGTGAACAGCAAAAAAATATGCACTCGTGTTTTGTGTTTTCACAGCATTGTACAGGTTGGAAAGAACCTCTAGAGATCATTGACACTTGTTGAATGCTGATGGAGACCAACCAGTGCATGTGAGCACAGTGAGGAGGGGGTAGAGCATTTCTGCAGTGGTGACAGTGACAGCATATCACACACTCTGCTGGTGCACGTTTGTGCCAGCACAGCATGAAGGCCTTGCTCACTGCAGCTGAAAATGCACAGTTAATGGTGATGACTGTGCTGAGAACTGGTGTTCTGTAGCTGAGAACTTGCTCTATCAAATAGAGTTATTGTGCTCTTCGTATCTATCGTAGTTTCAAAGGAAATAAGGACATATTATTTTTGGTGTATATGCATAAATACATAATGTATATGCAGCCCAAGACAATTCCTCTTTACTCACTGCAGCCCAGGCAAGCCAAAAAGTTGGACACCCATGAACTACACATTGTGATTATCAGTAACATCACCAGAGCTGTTCAGCAAAGTTGAAACAGAAGGAAGAAATCCAGATGCTGCACTATTACCTGTAAAACCTCCACGAAATGAAACAAGAGGTAAGACTTCATCCAACGAATAGAAGCACAAGAAATGGCTGTATGTTCAACTACCATCTCAGGCTGCACAAATCTTTTGATGCTTGCCCAGAGTGAATGTGCAAAGAGAAAGCATCTCCCCAGACCGGAAAAGGCTATGGAGTTTTATTCAGTGATTTATGTAGCTTTAGTCAACACAGCTAGCTGAAGGACTAAATAAACAATTCCAGCTTCAAGAGCTGAAGCCCCAAATTTGTGACTTTTCAGATTGACACTGGCAATTCATTACTGCAATAAATAGAACAGAACCCAGGAGAACCACAAAACATCCAAGCTCCTTGCCATTACACTCACACCATTAGGCAATGAGAACACTTACGAGTTCTTTGCATCTTTTATGCTTTTTTCTCACTTCATGCTCAAGGTTTTCACATTTTTTGCGTTTTTTCTTGAGTTCAAATTCCTGCATAGAACAAGCAAAAATAGACCACTAAGACCATGTTCATAAAATGTGGAAGAAATTCAGCTTCTTTGATCCAATGCTATATTGGCTTTTTCTGTTTTCTTAAGAAAATCTTTGTTACAAACATAAATGACATATAAACCCAATGAGATTAAAAAAAAAAAAAAAAAGTAGTGAAAATAAAAGACTTTTCAAGTAAAACAGGTATTCCTCTCTTCCTCAATCCTTTCAACTTCTGGAAACAATTCTCTATTTCTCAGTTGCAAAAATTGTACTGATTTGTCTAGGATAGGATGAAGGACAGGATGTGAGGAACAAATAGGCAGAGTTGTGGAGTGTTTCATACTGAAACACTAGCTGTGCTAACTTAGCTCTTATTCTAATCCAAATACATCTAACAGACAGCAGACAACCACTCTTTATGTGCCTTTATCTGTGGTTACTTGCTACCACTCTTGGTTCCCCAGCTGGATAAAAATGGCTAAACCTCACTGTGAACTGTCCCATTTTGCTAGAGTACTTCACAAAGGCCATACTCCTCACGACATCAGTCTTGAGTCAATCATGTCTGTTCAAATAATGCTGAACCAAACACATCACAGAATCTATCACTGGCATGGCTTCCTCTCCTTTCAGACTGATGCATACCCCCAGCTTAGCACAATACCTGGAGCTGACACCCAGCTTCCATGCAGAGACAGCCTCTGCAGGTTGCATCTAGGAAGACTTAAGTTCCCAAAATCTTTGCCTGGATTCTATGGGTGAAAACTCAAGAAAAACTTGAGCTCCTTCATCCAAAACCAGTCTGGCTTTGCTCTGGAAGGCAAGTGCCAAAAGACACAGACCCCTTCTGCACCCGTGGACAGGGCAACAACTCACCAGCTGCTGTATCTGTTGGCTGCTCTCTTGGTCTGTTACTGCATTTTTTGGAGGGAAATTTTCATGTCCTTCCAAGGCAGGGCCCAGTGGTAGCACACCTGGTTCCACCTGGAAAGCAAGCGAGATCTCAGAGCTCAGGGACAGCCAGGAGCACCAAGGAAGACATTCTCCTGGCCATAGCACCTAAGATAGTAACATCTCACAAGAAAACTCCAAAACAATAATCACAGCTGGAAGGTGATTAGATGGGAGGACACTACCCCCTTAAACAACCAAAAGTGAAAAATCAGCAAAGATCTCAGCATCCAAAAGGCAGGGAAGAGAAGAGGGTATCAAGAAAGGGGGCATTCTACCGTGGTTGTTGGTGAGAGGGACAGAAACAACCAATGTGCTGTGCCTTATGTTCCAACACCAAACAGAACACAGAAACAAGGGAAAGCCTTCACAACTACTACAGGAAGATGTCTGGCTGATAGCTGACATGGCTCAGTCTGCTCAGACTAACTACTGACAGCAGGACAAGGCCTGAGGTAGGCAGATGAAAAAGGCCATGATAATACTGTTTTTCTTTAAATGTTGAAGTTATTTTTGATAACTAGGTTTTAGGGACAGCAGCTGACAATCATCAAAGTGAAGTTATGCAGTGAAGAGACTTTGTGACTGCACCTCAGCTATGTCACCAGCAGCAGAATTTCTCATTTCATCTGAATACCTGCAGTGAGGGATCTAAGTTACTAAGTCTGCGCTCCCTTCACAGTCAGTTATCAGGACTGCATCCCAGAACAATACTTACCAAAGTCTCTTTTAACTACTTCAGACTTGAAACCCTGGTTTCAACTACAACAATTTTCAAGTTGAAAGCCAGAAAACTGTAATAAGACTCAAGACAAGCCCAGGCTAACCAAGTTTCCAGATTTTCTACTGCAGAGCTGGTGCTTGAAGCAGCCAAGTCCTGAAACTGACATCCTGCATTGAACTCAGGGACTTCCTGCAGCCCTAGAAGTAGGAAGACATGGGAGTCTCATGAGCCAATAGCTGGAAATCTCAAAGTCTCCACCCAAGCCATGGGCCCTTGCATGTCTTCATACGTTTTGTCAGAACGTTGCATTTCAGTCAGCTTTAATGAAATAAGATCTCAAGGAACACTAGCAGATGCCATCTAAGCTCAGATACCCACTGTACCAGTTACATGCACTATGCTTAGCAAGTCATACTCTCACAACAGATATGTAAGAAATTTCTGCGTGTTTGTACGCACTTTTCAGTAAAATGATACATAAAATGATTATATTCTTAATTACAAACTTTCAAAAGTTATAAAATTACATTTGCCCACTCAGGTCTAATTTCCATCCAAGAACAAAGACAACCTCCCCAGCTACGTGCTCATACACTCTTATTTTTCCACAGAACCCAGACTCATCACCATACCAGACAACTGCTAAATGAGACTGGCACACATCATGATGAGCGCTATGCCCTGGAGCTGAGCCACCTCATTCACAGCAGGGACTGAAAGATGCTCTTTGAACCAAGTGCAAGGAAACTGTTCAAGAAAACAGTTAAAAATAACCAGAGAACAGCTGTCCACAGTGAGCACCTATCTTGGCAAAGCCCAGCGAGACAGCAGGGTGAGGCTGTACTGCTGATGAGATGTCCAGAAACGTAGCAGCTTAAGTCAAGCATACAACAGGCACAGATGTACTCAGGCTTTGGCAAATGACCAGACTGTTTAAAGCAAGCAATAAAGTATATTAAAAATGTTGTAGTCTTTCTAGAAAACTCTGTCCTTGGCATGCAGGAACCATCATCACAATCCTGCCCCCCCAGAAATGCTGAAGCATCTTCCACCCAACCACAACCTGTCTCCCTGCTGTGCCAGGACAGCCCTGTGCAATGTCACAGAGCTGGACCAGGAAACTGATTCAGGTTACAGAAAAAGTGGGAAGAAGGCTATGTTTGTTGGGCTGTTTTTAACCCAGATCCATTCTCTAGACCCTAACACTCTGCAACTCAACACAGCCTACAGCAGCATGACTGGAGGAACAGCGGGAATGTGCAACGCGAAGTAGGAGGCTGCTTCAGTGAGTACGACCACTGTGAGAAATGCTCACTACATTAGTATTATTACAGAGATAAGCATCATTCCACAACCCCAAATAAAGAAGCAGAGAGATCAGAAAGAGAAGACAGAAAGAGAATTTTCCAACACCACTAAGAGAAGCTTGTTCTTTACACCCTGAGGAAGTTCCTTGAAAGTCAGGGGATAGAGCCATGACACACTGTGCTGCAGAAGGAGACAGAAGAGCAAAATCATTTATTTTACTTGTGGTACCTGTGGTTTTTGCTACCTTCATCCTCAACACAGTACCACTGCACCCACACACACGCAGGTCCTCACTCCCTGCTCTCTGATGCTACCACACAGCATTCTCGCTATGTTCAGCTGGGAAATCTTTGGACAATGAGGACTGGCTCTCCTGATTCTGGAAAAGTGAAGAGCAGCTATGAGAAAGGATATAATGCATATTCTCTATCACGAGGAGAATGTGACGGATTCTGCAGTGTCAACTGAAAATCAAGGATGACTAGGGCAGAGCAGGACCAAAATGATAAGTAAAAGAAGTCTGTGCATCTATCCTCATCATCTGAGGGGGTGAGGGTTCCCCATGGCAGAAATGTCAAAGTGTGAAGAACAGCTGAGGATTTGTCTCAGAGATTGAACTGTCAACCAGAAGAACTATAGAAACCAATATAATAAACAGTAACAAATTACCAAGAGTAGACAATATTAATCTGAATTTAAAAAACAAAACAAACCCTTCAGCATGAATGGAATGTCTCAACTTCAGCACCAACACAGTAAAGATGTGCACTATGCCACCTCTCTAACACAATGCAAAACAACTGGAAGGTGGCAAAAGTCATCTTTTAAAAGGCTGCCAGTGGAGATCGGGGGAAAGACGGACCTGAACATTTGACATCTGTGCCACAAGAAAACCAACTGAATTGCAACAAAGAATATGCAAATACTTAAACAAATCCATATTTGGAAAAGAAAAAAAATCAACCCTATGCTACACTCCTGAAGCTATAAAACGGGTGAGGAAGGTGCAGTACATACAGCCTGCCTGGTAACTCTGCTACAGTGCTTTTTTAAAGGCTTCTGCAGACACTAAGCTGATGTAGGAGGGGAAGGACTTATCTTGGGTAGATATCTGGGGAAAACAAGAACTGAGAGGCAGCAGGAGCTGTGCACCCCAAATACTGATGTGGTGATGAAAAAAATGGTGAAGGGTCCTCGTGGCACTGAGAGATCACAGTGTGGCATGGAACAAACCATGCTTCAATAGTAGCCAACGCTTAGACAACAAGACAAAGGGCTCTGTTAGGAAAGGGAGAGAACTTTGTTCTGCTGCTCTGGGGGATCAAAAACGACACATAGAAAAACAACTAGAAAAGACAATGTGTTTTCCCAAGGAGGCTGTGGATCCCCATCCCTGCAGGCATTCAAGGCCAGGCTGGATGTGGCTCTGGGCAGCCTGGGCTGCTGGTTGGCGACCTGCACACAGCAGGGGGTTGGGACTGGATGAGCACTGTGGGCCTTTGCAACCCAGGCCGTTCTATGATTCTATGAACTAACACTGGATAAAGCAAGAGGATCCTCCAAGAAAGAAAAAATGGCAGGGGGAGCAAGGGGGCAACAAACCAGAGCTCAGAGCAGCACGCGAGGCCGCAGGTGTGACGTCCCGCCCCACAACATCGCAACTCCACGACCGACTGACGGGAAGCCCCCATGCCGCCCGCGGCCCCGCGCAGCCCGGCCGTGACGGCCCCGCGCTCCCCGCCCGCCCCTCAGGGCCGCGGCCTGCAGCGGGCCTGCACGCAGCCCGGCCCCGCGGCGCAGCGCCCAGCGGAGGGGCCGAGCCGCCCTGCAGCACCGCACCGCACCGCACCGCACCGCACCGCACCGCACGCACCGCACCGCAGCCCGGCGGCCCGGCAGCGCGCAGCCCCGCTCCCGGCACCACGGCCCACCGCGGCCCGGCCTCACCTTACCTTAACCTGCCGGCGCGGCTCGCCGGGGGGGCGGCGCCGCGGGGATTGCCGGGCCGGAGCGCTGCGGCCGCGGAGGGGCAGGGCCGGGCCGCGCCGGGATGGGGCGGCTGAGCGCGGAGCCGCTCCGCAGCGCGGCCTGTGCGGAGGCCCCGGCTGAGGGCCGCGCGGGGCTCGGGGACTCGCGGCCCGTCCTCCGCCACGGCCGCGGCGTTTGGAAACCGGCCCGGCCGGCGGGAACCGCGGCTCACGGCTGCGATGAGGTTCCCTCGAGCGGGAGCGAAGCGAGTAACAGAGCGGCCAGGCCGTCGGGCCGCCGACCCGCTCGTCTCACCTTGCCGGGCGCTGCCCCTCCCGGCGCCGGCTCTGCCCAGCGCGGCTCCTTCGCTGCGGGCGCGTCTTTGCCGCGGGCGTTCGGCGCTGGGCCCGGGCGGACGGCGGCGCTGGGCAGGGAGCCTCCCGAGCCGCCTTTGGAGGAGCGCAGGCACTCCTTGAAGTTCTTCAGCGCGATTTGCCTCTGCAGCCGCAGCACTTCTTTCTGGGATTCCCGCAGCAGCCGGTCGAACTCCACCACGTTCGGACAGCGAGGGTCACCCTGCGGGGAACGGTAGCACGGCGTGCGGCTCCAAGGTGCAGCAGGTTAGGGTGATGTCACGCACAAAGTGCTGCCCAACAGATGCCAGCACACCCTGTTCCCTAACAGAGCACACCAAAGCTTCTCTTTCCTGGGCCCCCGACTCCTCCAAAGCAGTCATTTGACATCCTAAGTGTCAATACGTAATTTCTCTCACAGGTGAAAACTAGCCTGCAATGCTTTACAGTTATCCCAGTGTAAAGCTATGGTAAAAACGGCTTTTCTAAGTGCGTGCTTTCTAAGTGTTTGCCAGCAGAGAGCGTGTCAGGATAATACAATTTCATTTCTTCATTCCACAGCAAAACAAGAGCCCCAGCTGGGTTCCTCTCCTTGCCGTGTGTGCTGGCATTCTCTGCAGCCCTGTGCATGCCTGGTGGTTAGAGCTTTAATGTTGGAAAGAATGAACCGTATCTGAGACGTGTTTGCTTCTGACTCAGGGTGTTTGGCTTTTTAAAGTGCTACTGATTTCTGACCGGAGAGGGCTTGGGTGGATAGGCTTCTATCCTCAGCACAAGTAGCCAGTCCTGTCCACTCTGGACGCAAAGGCAGCAGCTTTTAAAGGAAGCCAGTGCAATTTTAGTCTCGCTAAAACAGTGAGAATACGCCACCAGTTTGTGTTAAATTCCTCAAAGGTTTTCAGATTTCAGAAAGCTGAAAAAGACACGTACCTGCATGTCCATACAGACATACAAATGCTGGTTATGAAAACCTGTCCTTACAAATATGCTACTGAAGAAGACATTGCTCATTGCCCTGGAAAACTCCTAAACCAGTGAATTCACTGCATAATTGGTATCCAGGACAAATTTAATCTGCTTCCCCATTCACTTCCTATTCCCCCCAAAAATAGCATGTGCTTTGCAAATACAGTTTGTGTAGAAAAGCATAGTTACTCTCAAACAACAAGGGGGAAACCGAGGCACCATTAATGGGAACTGATTATAGATTCAAGAAGTGAGCAGCTGGGCACTCTGTGCAAGACCCACATTGAGGCTATCAGGGTTAGTTCTTCAAACAAAATTGGTGGGGGCTGCCTAAAAAGCTCCCTTCCTCCACCAGAAAATAGAAGCAGCTATTTCCATAGAGAGCCTCCAAAGCCGGGGGGGAAATAAGAGAGCAGAAAAGCACTCAGTCTTCCACTCACAGCTCCGATTATACATGTCCTCTGCAGCTGCCTTGCCATTCCCCGCAGCCTCCAGGAATCCCCACTGCAAGAAATGGCAGCCTGGTGGAACCTGGAGCAGGGCCTTTGTTGCAAACTGTCACTGCAGCATGCTCTCAGACAAACATCTTGCCCTGAGAGCTCTGACTTGGCAAAACAAGGCCCACGCTTTTGCAGCCTGGTGCACACGTCGTCCTACCACTGGAAATGAACAGAGTACATCTGTTTCATAGCTACTGAAAAATTTGTGCTGAATCAAGTGCATTAGATTAAAAATGATTTGGCTACAAACTCTGAGCATGCACATAATATCTCTGCTCATAAACCCCCTCATTGGCATAATGCATTTTGCATGCTGCAGACAGATTAGGGGAATTTTGAATTTTAACTAGCTGAGAATTAAAATTTAATGAGCAGCTTGCTTGGAAGATAAATAGGAAAAAAAAAAAAAAAACAACCCACAGGATCAGATAGAATAATTTCCTCTCTGACAATTTTTCTCTGCAGATTCCCAGCTCATGTACTGATGGCCCTCACTGCTGGTGCCTTGGCAGGTTACACAGATGGTCTCACCTTCCCAGCCAGGGTGGTTGCCCATGCCCTAGCAAGGCAGCAGCTGAAGTCTCAGCAGCTATGAGGACTGCACCCATATGTATTTCCTTGGCCAGTAATGAATCTTGCTCTCCCGCCTTTGTCACATTCTTCTACAGTTTGTCAGCCTTCTATCCCTGGGAGATTCAGCTTGTTCAGCATGCTCTGCTGTGAAAATCAGAGGGTTTGTTCCCCCTTCTGTGGGAGTCTGCAGTGAGCAGTCATGGGGACAGGAAGGAAATTTGTTCTTGGTAAGACTGTAGAATGCACTCAGACCTAGATAACTTTCTCTTGTGATTTAACACCAGAAGGGATCACTGGGACAGCTCTGTACAAACAGTGAACAACACCCAATTATTCTTGTCTAGACTAGATCTATGTTAGGGAAAGACAGAGAATCTACTTGCAAACACATAGTTGAAGTGAACACATGCAGAGCTCAAAGAATGAAATAAAGCTGTTTTCAGCAAGAAAGTATTTGTCACCTAATATGAGTAGGTAGAAATATAAGTATTATTTCTGCTCAACTGGGTGCAGGAACATAGCACTGCATGTGACCACTTGCATACTAGTGAAAAAGGGAGAATGAGAGTGTATTAACTGACCTGCATTAAAACTGTACAGCTTGTGAACAAAAGACATATCCGATATAACCAGAACAGATTGCTCTAGCCGCTCTGAGCAGGAATTGTTTCACCTAATTTAGGTGCCTGCAGAAATTCCTTTTAGAACCACCTCAGAGAAGTGCCTTGAAAGAATGTCCAAGCAGTTTTACACACAGGTCTCAGGATGAGCTGAATTTTCCCTCTTATTCCAGTATTGATTTCAGCAAGCTCTGTGCTGGGCCACCAGACCATGTCCACGCATCAGCACTGTAGATGGTTTTATGAATACCCACCCTCATTTTAGGATTTATACGCCTAATATCAGTAACACAAGTGTGCATGTAGATATCACCACTATGATGGCTGCAAGCACTAAAAGCTGGTGCTGAGAGTGTGCAATCTGGAGTGATTCTTGGGAATGTGCTCAGCTGATTTGCTTTTTAAAGAAATGCATTAAAAGGAAGTCCTGCTTCTACGTCTCACTTGAAGCTCACTACAGTGAAAGGCCATTCTGTATCTGTGGCTTCTGGGGTTTTCCAGGGGGACAGTTTTAGTTGCTGATGAAAATGGCAGTGCAGGATCTATGAATTCACAGAGGGAGAATTGGGATGTCCCCCAACACACGGTTCCAAGTGGTCTCGATTCTGTCTTGGCCACATGTTCCTCTAACTTTCCCCATAACAACTCATACATCAAATACACTCTGCTTTCAGTCTGCCCTTGAAACTAATCGCCATCGCACTGCTGGAGCCTGGTTCCCGACATTGTTACTGCACTGTCTGCACCCAGCCACTGCACAAAGTCCCAGAAGTATCTCACCTTCCCCGCGATGAGTTTAGCCTGCAGCTCCCGGCACTCCTGCTGCAGAGCTTCAATCTGCTTGTCTTTTGCCAGAAGAGCACTGGCTTGCTCTGTCAAGTCCTTGGCACGCTGGCGGGCAAATGCTTTCTTACACAGCTCCAGGCTGGAACCCTTCAGGGGCACTGGAGCAGTTACCTAAACCCGGAGAGAGCAGCAAGAGAGAAAGCCACATACATTGGCATTTTTCACTCAGAGGGTGGTGGGGCACTGGAACAGGTTGCCCAAGGACGTTGGGATGCCCCATCCCTGGAGGCATTCGAAGCCAGGCTGGATGTGGCTCTGGGCAGCCTGGTCTGGTAGTTGGTGACCCTGCACATAGCAGGGGGTTGAAACTAGATGAGCATTGTGGTCCTTTTCAACCCAGGCCATTCTATGATTCTATGAATGATGCTGGCCAACTATCACCCCGGGTGTCATCAGAGACCAGGGCCAGGACATGCAGCCTAGCCCCAAAAGACAGAAAGAGGAGCATAACAGGCATATGGAAAAGTCAGAGGAAAGAGGAAATGCTTCTTTGAGGAGCAGATCAAAGAAGAAGTGGGAAGGAGAAGGTAAGGTGAGCAGATGAGGCCAAAGCACACACAGACAGTATAGGGGGCTGCAGGCAGAGAGAGGAGAGGAAGACAGAATGAAGGGAGAAATACGGGGAGAGGACAGTGGAGAGGAGGAGATGAGCAAAGGGTAGAGGAGGCCAAGACAGGAGGAGAAATGGAGCTTCCATGGGGTCTTCGAAAGACAGTGGGGAACAGCTTATGCAAGGATGGGTAGAAGATATAGTCAAAAGGAGAGGTGAGGGAGAGCCCAGCTCACCCAGGCCAGAACAGCTGATGCTGCCCAGCTGCAGTCACCTGAGGATGACAGCTCTCATAGGAGTTCCCATCCCTAAGGCCAGCTCTCCTATGGAGTACCAGCACCACAGGTGGGCACCCTGCATGTCCTGAGGAACTTGGTTTTCCCAGGGCTCACCCAGGGCTCAAACAGCCACCATCCCAAAGTTAAACTCGGGGAAAAAAATGAAACAGCATTTGTGAAGTTGCTGGAGGTTCTGCATAGCTGTTGGTTGTATAGCAAATGATTTTTCTTGGCATAGTACCTGACAAGTCCATCTGGCAGCAACTGTTGTGCTGCAAGTACCAAAACTCTGTGACAGACGTGTCCCTGGTGTAGTGCAGGGTCCAGGGACAGAGAGGGCAGGGAATGCCAGGAAAATTCCCTACCTTCCCCTACCAGCAAAGCTTTTGCTTCTTCTTTCTATCCTAAAGAGCTTGAATTTCCCCCTGGCCCCCGGTCTCCCTCCAATGGGAGAACATTTTTCCCCTATTCTGTTGCAAGCTACCTTTATGTAGCTTGTGCAGATGTTTGTCTGCAAAGCACCATATCCTACAGCCATGTCCTACTACTCCTGCACCACATCAGAAACTACTGGGTTTGCAAAAAGCTCTTCTTCAGTTTGAGAAAGAAAAAAACATGCCACTTGCACAAAAATGCTAGTGAGGTGTGCACGAGGCAGAGCAGAATATCTCACCCCTTCCTGTTTTGCTTTACCACACTCCTTTTCTTATTCAAATACTTCCTGTTTCTTTTCGATGAAGTCAGATGAGTTATTTTCATGACTAGCCCAGGGAAAGCTGAGCTAATTACCTAAATTAATACTTTACATTAGATTGGCACATTTACAGCAAGAAACCAATTAGGAGGAAATTGCTCAAAACCAGCTCCGCAAGCATGAGCTGAAGAAGCTGGTGATGGTTCTTTCCTCGGTTCAGTTTTGCGGTTTTTGCTCTGTCGCTGATGTACAAAGCAAGTCTGATGCATGGCCTTGCCAGGTTAATTAGAGAGGAAAGAGGAGGCCTTTCTGTCCCAACAAAAGCAAATAACAAGAAGTCCTAGGGGCAAGGTGCTCTCCTAGCTCAGGCCCCAGCACAGCAGAGGCTCAGCACTCACGACTTTGAGGTTGGCCTCCTGGAGTTTTCGGGCTCTCTCCTCCAGCCGTTTGGCGATCACTGCCAGCTCTGCGTTTTTCCTCTTCAGGTGCTTCACCTTCTCCTCTGTCTCGGGGAAGCAGCTCCTGCGCTGGATAACAGAAAGAGAGGGTCAACGTGAGACCTCACTCAGTGTCCCTCTGCAGTGCTTACACACTCACCTTCAGTTGTCTCCTCCATGGTCAATGAAACTCTGCTTTTCCTGATATTTTGTTAATGTGACATCTTGGTTCTTCAAAGAAACCCCTTGCCCAACCCAGCCCATGGTCCCTCTGCAACCTTGCACTCTCTCTGCTCTTTGCAGGCTCTGCCTTTGCCGTTTGAGACTTGGCACCTATCCTGGCTGCTGGCCCCTTCTGAAGCCTATCCCTGTTCATCTCCCAGCTGCTTCAGTATTCAACACATTGCTGTGGGTTTGTGCTGCAGCACCATGTTACAATGTGAGCTTTGCCGCTGTCCTTGCTCCCCTGACACTGAAGCATGAGTTTGGGGGACGGGGAGAGAGCAGCCAAGGACTTTACAATGTTTGCAAACCAAATTTCCTTTTCCTTTCTATTGATTCTGTTCGCTCTTAATCCCCTTTTATTTGTTATCTGTCTGTTTCGATAAGCTGATCCTTGTTCTCTCAAGGTCAAACCCAGATGTGTTGTGCTGTCTTTTCACATTAGCAAAAACGTCAGGTCGGCTGATCCTTATTTCCTTCACTACCTCTGTGAGATCCCACCACGTGCACGTGCTGCTTTCACTGCCTTATTTGGTTTCCTTCAGTCAGAAGACAGAGGCTGATTTTTGAGAGTAAGATTTGACAACAACTTACATGACAGTGCTTTGCTAAAATCCATGGTTGTCAGTGGGTGATCCTCCCTAGTGTGCATGGCGTGCTGAATTTATGCTCTTAGTGTAAGAAAATTATCTAAAACATGTTTTGAATTTGGTTATATACATGTTGAATGATTAATCTTTTAAGGATATTTTGAAGGGAAAAAATTGGCATGAACTGTCCTCTTCTCAGATTCTTCCTGCCTTCTTCCAATCCTTTTTAGACAGCTGCTGTGACATTTACATTGGGAAAAGGGAAACACTTGCCTAGGAGGGCAATATGGCCCTACACTTTCAAAGATGCCTGGAGAATGAACAATGCAAGGTCCTCCCCTTTGCACAGTGTAGTTCAGAGTCAGGGTTGATGATGAACTGAAAGGTTATAGGGTTGGACTGATGCAGCTCTGCCAGCACTGCAGAACTTAGCTCCAGGGTGGCTACATCCCTGCACTGCAGGGCTTCCTAGACAAGGATGCTTTCTGGTGAGGATTCAGTAGGGAGAATCCCCTCTTCTTATTTCCTGTCTGCTAACCATGGACGTGGAACCCAAGGAGGTGGGAGTAGGGAGGAATGGGCAGCCTGCACTGTGGCAGCCTGGCCTGCCTTTGGGTGCTGGGGGTGCAGCAGGGATCAGGTGCCAAGCTCTCATGAGCAGGGGGCACTGCTGCACTATAACCCAGAACAGGGCTGACTGAATCAGTGTTTCTGCTTTTCCATTTAAAGAGGAAACAAGAGTGACTTCCCCCTCCCCTGCCGTCGCTTCACTGCTGCCTTGCTCTCTGCCAAAGCTGGCAGCTGCAGAAAAGCCTCTTGCAGTTGCCAGCAGGCAAACAGTGCTGGCAAGGATGTCAGGGAGGGCATCAGCAGGTCACCAGGAAGGGGTCCTGCTCAAGTCAACACTGAGTGCAGCAGAAAGGCACCTAGGGGACCCAAAACACACTGCCCTCCCCTCAGCTGACCCCATGTACCTCTTCTCTTGGAGCTTGGCCCAGCCAGGACTCCTTCCCCATGCATCGTCCACATTGTTGTGTCTTGAGCCAGCCTAGTGCCTGGCCAGGGTGCAGGATGGGGCTATGTTCTGCACTCACCAGCAAGCTGTTCTCCTCGGTGAGACTGGAGCAGCGGTGCTGCAGGTCCTCCAGTGCGCTCAGGAGCTTCATGTTCTGGCTCACAAGGAAGCTGTAGTCAGCCCCGCTCTGCAAAACAGCATGGGAAAGGCAAAGCAGGGCTTCACTTTCCCAGAGCAAGGGTGCCATGGCTGCGTGCCCACCCCAGCCCCACAGTGAGCCCAGCCTGGCTACATGGGTAGGCCAGTGAGGTAAGAGTGAAGGCAGCAAAGAGGGAGGGTGAGACCTGGAGGCTGATTTCAGGACAAGAGGAGGAGACTCTCGCCTCCTGATTTCAGGAGAGGAGGAAAGAGACTGCACATCCTTTGGAGGTAGAAGAAGCAACGATCATAGCTGAGTGCTCTCTGCTCTACCTGACTGTTGGCTGCTGCTCCCCTAGGGCTGTACTGCTAGTGATGTGGGACATCAGGTAGGTGACTATGGAGGCTGGCACCCAGCACGAGTTCCCCCTCCCAGCACCATGGGCTAGCAGGATGGGTCACTCTCAGCTGCATCAGGGTCTCAACTTAAACCTTGGGAAAAAACTCAGATGCTGACATTGTCCCCAGCTGCTTGCATTTTGACACTGTGCCTCCTAAACCAGCTCAGAACACAAACAGAGCCAACAAGAGCACATGCCATGACACACCAGACATGTGCTCCTCCCCATGGCTCAGGAACCAGCAGCCTTCAGTACTGCACAGTTTTTGGAGGCAAAGAGACCTTCTTGCCCACCTCCCCATTCCAGCTCAGGTCCAGGAGCCATCCAGGAGCCAGCCCCAGTTCTTACTGTGTCAGCCTTGCCAGTGGAAGAAGGCAACATGCTGGATTTCTTTGCAAAACACCACCTTAATTTTGTCACATCAAAAGCAGCAGCAGCTCTTCTGGGAGCTGTATATATAGCTTGTGGTTACTGCTTCCTGCGCAGATCTGCTCACCACAGGCTTGCTGCTGAAGCAGGGTCCCAGAAAGTATTTTTGTGCGTTAGCAAAACTTGGGGCCAAGCTATTGCTTCACAGTCACCATATGGCAGCAGCAAAGCGCGCACCTCAGGCAGACCTGGCCAGATGTTCTCCCAGCAGCCAGGCCAGTCTTGCAAGACCCAGGATGACTTTGCTGGTGCCACCGGATGGCTAAATCCTTCCTGTTATGTGGCTTTGTGTGTGCAGCTAAGTCTACAAGTGAAATGCTCTTCGTTACTGAGAAATACCTCCCAGGCTCTCCTAGTAGCAAGAACTCAGGCAGATTGCAGCACAAGGATGCTTCTAAGCTTGAGGAAGTCTGAGGCTGTCTAAAACTCACCACAGTTTTGAACAAAATTGGTTTTGGCCTCTCCATCACTTCAATCTGTTAAAAAGCACAGGAGACTGCAAAGCACTCCCCACCAAGTCCCCTGGCACAGCTGAGCACCACAGGCAGCAGCATCTCATCCCTATATGGAAATGCCTTGGCAAAGCCAGGAGGATAAATAGGGGAAAAAAACCCTGAAAACTAAAAAAAAAAAATCAAAACCCCAAACCACCTCCCATCCCTTCCAACTAGCCTCACCCAATGCCCCCACCAAGTGCCTTCTGACACTGCAGCAGGGCAAATTAGGTGTCTCGAGTCCCCAGGCCTTTAGTGGAGCTGTTTGTAGATGTCCACCCTGCAGAAATCCCAGGGTTAAGAAAGGTAGAGCGAAATGCCCCATGGGAAGTGGTTTCCATTTGTGGGAAAGCAAATGCATATTTATTTTCCTCTTTTCCACCCATAGGCACAGCCAAGAAGTCACAGAGCCAAGTGCTGATCAGGCTGCACAGCCCATTGCTCTGGTCCCAGGTCCTGCAGCACCACTGGTCCCATCCCTGCCGCTTTACAGGCACAGCATGCATCCCAGAGAAAATTCCCATCTCCAGGAACAGCAGAGCCCTTCCTGGCACCCAGGAAGGGGACACTGTGGGTCCAACAGGGGCATGGAGCAGGATGTGGGCACAGTGGGGTCCTGTCAGCATTTTCCAGGCAAGCTCAGCAGAGCTGTGGGCTGGTTCAGCACTGCCATCCCTAAAGCTAGGAAGGCAGCCCTTGGGATGAAGTCAGAATGCATTATTTCCACCTCTTTGCCACTGCCAAGAAGATTCAAGCTTTTCATCTTTCCTTTCTGGCGCCCACCAAGGCCAGGCATGCTCAGCCTGGGGCAGGATCTGGGCGGCTGTGGAGCAGCCAGAGTGCCGTGGCCTGTCCCCAACAGCAGCCAGGCTTGTGGCACGTCAGCACAGTGCTTCTGTGGGGACAACTGATACTTCCAGAGACTCTGGAAAGGATTCTACTGGGAACCAACCCCCCTTATGGGCTCATTTCAGTCTTTGAAACCTCTTTTCTGTAGCTAAAAACAGCATCTTCACCAGGCCCAGAGGCAGCTCCAGAGCCCACCACACAGCAGAGGCCAGGCTGTGCTGAGCTTAGGGGTGCTGCCAGCTCCCCTGGGCCTGCCCTGAGCTCCTGGGTGCTGCCCTGAGCTCCTGGGTGCTGCCCTGAGCTCCTGGGTGCTGCCCTGGGCCCTGATCCAGGTCGGGTCAGCCCGCAGCATGGCTGTCCTCAACCCCTAGGACCCTCTACAGCCTCAGGGCCTCACCAGGAGAGGCACGAGGGGCAGCAGCAGCAATGTGGTATCAGGGGACCTTCCCTGTGGCCCCGCAGCTCCTGAGGAAGTTTTGCCACCTCCTCCTGGCACAAGATAGGGGCTGGGCTGGCTGCCTGGGCTGAGTCTTCCTTGCACACCACATGGCCAGCACCGACCGCCTGTCTAGACGTCATCCCACACTCATTAAACATTCATTTCCCATAATGAAATGGCTTTTCATTTATTAACTGCTCCTCCGTTCCTCATTGCTCCCGCACTCTGATGCAGCCTCACTGCAGATTGTGCTTGCAGCCCCCCTAAATGCTGCGTTCAGAAGGGAGCTGAGGAAATCTTTGAAAGAAGAGGCCCCCACACATGGCTTGTCTTCATAAAGATGCATAGAAGTGCCAGCAGGAGCCATGAGCCAAAATCCAAAGCATCCCATGGTCAGGGAGGTAAAGCTGGTGGGAGCTGAGGCAGTGCTGTACCAGAGGGCACAGGGAGCCCTCGTGTCCCTACATCTAGAGCTGCCTTGGCCACCAAAACAGTTAAGTCCAGGGACACCTTTGGCCATAGGGGACATTTGCTAAAGGCAGAGCAAAGCAGAGAAATAACAGCAGGGAGGCTGGGAGGGGGGAGCGGAGCGCAGCTCCTGTTTGCAGCTGGCACACAGCTTTGAAGCGTCTCGTTTCAGGGAAAACATGATCATCTGTCACCTCCGTTGGCAGGTAGAGCCAAAAATACAGCTTATTTGCAACGCATCAAGAATGAACAAACACAGGCCTCAGCAGGACAGCAGCAAGAGAAGCTGTTTCTTCTTCACCTGAAAACTTCAAAAAGCAACTGAGAGCTGCAGCAGCTTTTGCAGGGAGAAGTGCCCAGCCAGGCTGCTAAATGGGTCATGTAGCCAAAATCCCCCAGGAACCACCCAGCATCCAGCGCAGGCTTTGAAGTCCTGCAGAACATTTGCAGGAAGCCATTTGAGGGGCAGTAAATCACACTGTGGTGGGGCTGGCAGCACTGCTCCGCAATGCGGCTCGAGCACACCGTGCTGCCATGCCTTGTGGCTCAGCCTGGCACCAATCGGCCCGGGGACTTTCCTACACCTGCTGCAGGGACTGAGCCAAAGACAAAACCCTGGCCTGATTGAAAATCCCAGCAAATGTGGAGGAGGAGTTAACCAGGTGGCCCCTTGAGTGGCACATCTCAGACAGCTTTTGGCATTCTCTTGGCTGATTTTGAAAGGTATACAATCTGAAGATGTCCCTACAGTAACTTCTCTGCCTGCAGCAAACAGGGCTCCAGTTTGCTTCCCAAAAGCTGCCTCTGAAATCCAACCCCCACCGCTGCAGACACCGCTCCCTAAGTAAAACTGCACTGCTGCTTTCCTACTCTCTCAGATGTATTAAATCCACCACCTCTGCCTCGTTTGAAATCATTGTCACCTGTCACGCAGTAAATACTGAGCCTCAACCATGTCAAAGCCCTTTAGCAGTCCATTCCAGCTGACTTTGGTAATTAGTTTCCTTAACTCTCAGTCCTTGCCACTTAGAAATAAAACCTGTCACTGCTCATCCGTTTTCTCCTCTTCCATCCAATTTCAGTGAAAACGGTTCGTAGGAGAAGCTATTTTCTGTAGGCTGCTCTTCTGCAGTGCCCTCACTGCACGTCAAAAGCAAGACGAAAATAGCATCACCTCCTGCTGGGTCAGTGAGCAGCAGCAGCAAAACCCATTGGTGCTGGCACAGCAAGCACACCTCGTGCTGGAGAGCGCGTTATCCAACTGGAGGTAAAAGGCAATTTTGGTTAAAGGTAGGAGAGAAGTAGGAGAGGAGCTTGGGATGCAGTCGTGCTCCCCCTGCCACTCCCCTGACAGGCAGCCTGTGTCCCACAGCTTCCTTCATTTTGCACCACGTTCCCACTTTCAGACACAAACATCTCTGCTCTCTGACTTCACGAGGCTCCCCTCCCATTCCTTGCCCTGTGCGCTGCCAGCTTGTTTCCATGATTCAGCATTTTCTTCCATTGCCCATCCCTCTTCCAAGTGTGACCTTATACACTGTGATTTCCTCATTTATCTGATTTTTATCGCCACTTGTAACAAATTCATGGAAGAAAAAATCCATCTGAGGGTATTTACTTCAAAGATACTGCCTCCAGCATTGGGAGTGTTGGAGCCACACACCGCAAGATATGAGGAGAATATTCAGGAAAACATTCACATTCTGTTTGTTCTTTCTTACAGCCTTGCACAGGCATTGCTCCTGCATGCCCTGTGAGCACCGCCAGCTCTTCCTGTGTTCCTCACAGTGTATTTAAAATAAGACATGCGTTAAAATTGGAATCTCACAAATTTGTATCCTCTATATTTTTATGAAAGCACCATCTCCAGTCTCAGAAAAACAAACTCTGGTGCTTCATGAGGAGAAAAAACAGCTGGACATCATGGCCAGACTGTCCTCTAATGAGCTCAGCTGCATCGGGCTCCCCAGACAGAGAAAAAAGAATGATTTTTGCAACTCTGAGACAAGGAGGAATGTGAGTGGAGAATAAAATCGTGGGACAGAGGCAGAACACAAGACTACCCAGCGTGCAATGTGGAGCGGTTTCTCATCTTTAACAGCAAATGCAAAATACAAGAGATTTTGCAAGCAGATGAGAGAAAATGACACCTTAATACCGCAAGGCTGCTGGAAAGGCAGCTGTGAACCACTCCTGACGTACTGCGCACGCATTTCTTCATCTTTCACAATCACACAAAGAGCAGATCAGCCAGCTGAGAGATACGGAGGATTTGGAGATACCCTTTCCTGTCCCTGCAAGGCCAGCCAGTCGCCATACACAGAAAGCAGCCCTACATGGGACGGACCCAGTGGGGACAGTCAAGTAGGCAAGGTCCTGCTGAGGGTGCAGGCACTCATCCAGCAGGTACCATCTCTACCACAGCTGCTCCTTGTCCTGCTCTCCACTGTGGTTCAGAGGCCTTAAACCAACCCTTCTTGCAGTGGGAATGACCTGCCTGACACAGAGTTAGGACAAGTGTGGGTGGCCCTGTGCGGGATTCCCCAGCTGTGACCAACCTCTCTCCATGTTCAACACAAATCTTACTGCAAACCAGGATATACAGCTGGAAACTGCTGCTGGTGACTCCTGGGCTGCGATCCAGCTTGGTTACCAGATAACCTGAACCACAGGGTATACAAAGCGAGTATGACAGCATCACCTTCCTACCCCAGGTCACTCCGAGACTCAGGTGACTGACTGGGAGCCGAGGCAGCTCAGCCTTTTTCCCTCACTGATTTCTGAGTCCTGCCGCAAAACTGAATCTGCAGAGAAGTGGGCGCAGGCAGTGGTATTTACACTAGGAAAAAGCAACATGTAGAAGTGGGAAGTAAATGTGTTAACATCCTTAGTGCAAACACAGAAGAACGGGTGACATTGCAACCTCTCCTTGCATACCCATCTGCGCTGCCCACCCTTTGAGCTAATGGCACATGGGCACTGCCTTCCTGCAGGTGTTCGGGATTTTTCTTGTTGAGGTCTAATGAGCATCAGCCTGAAGATCTTGGCACTGCAAGCTCAGGCCCAGGCAGCTCTGAGGTTTTTGTGGAGCATCTGGGCTCTCTTTTTTTGATGCCACGTGTCAGATAATTCTCTTTTGTAAATATGCAAAGAAGAAAAAAACTGGGGAAGAGTGATAAAATTTAGCTCTTTCCAGGTTTGGTATTTTGATGGCTAGAATGGGGACAAATGTTCGCTGATAGCTCATCTTTCTTGTAACAGAAACCCTAATCCAAAGAAACACTGCCTAGAGAGGCATGAGACGTTAATACTGACAAATGCACGTGGGAATGAAGCACCTGTCTACATGAGCAGCACAGGACTGTGTCAGGCCTCACCCCAAAAGGCCACTGAACTGCAGTGCCCACCCCATGCAGAAGTGCTGCTGCCATCTAACAGGATCACAGCTCCAATAGTTAATATCAGATCTCCTTCCCACTTCAAAGCCTCAGCAGCAGTATTTGTGGTCTCACTAGCTTGGTTGTATGGAGTAGAAAGACTGGATTGCCTAACATGTTCAGCTGTGAAGAGACAGATGTGCTCCTGAACCCTGGAAGGCACATCATGGAGCCAGAGTGGCAGATCTTGTATGCACAGCTCATCTTTTGCCCAGGTATCTGCCACCACAGTTCTCCCCAACCAGTACCTGTTTTCCAAATGACTTGCAGTTTCACAGGGTACAAGAGCACCTTTTCTGCTTGGGTCACATTTGCTTAAAAAAAATGCTGTGATTACCCAAATAGTGGGGAACAAAGTCCTTGCCATCTCACTAAGCAAGAACTCATTGGCTAAAATGTGATTTTATGAATTTTTCCTGGACTGACAAGCCTCAAATTACCTCTAACAAGTAGATGGGGGACAAAGACACCATCCCCTTGCACCACTCTCAAGAGCCAAAGGCTTGTTATTGTTGTTCATACTTGTTCAGTGATCAGAATGGAGATGAGAATGGCAAATGCTGTAGGAGGCTTAAAAACTGATGCCCAAAAGGATGTTTTCAGATTGCTGCTAAGCAGATGGCTCTGCTGCAGAAAGCTTGTGCTCAAAGCAGGGAGACATCAAACAGGTGCTGGCATTGCACATGTGCCATTTCTCGTTGTGTTATTCCGGCAGGCCCAGGACATCCAAAAGGAAGAAGAAAACACACTGGTGGAAAATGTGCAGAGGGCAAACTGAGAAAGATGCTGAGGCAAAAGGTCAGGGTGCAGTCATGGCCAGCTCCCAAATCCAGTTTGTCATCACCAGTCCAGTGAAGCCAAGGACGCTGTGAGGAGGCAATAGCCTCCTCAATGGAAATTACCTTCCCCTTCCAAACACCCTTACTTTGTATTTTCTTCCATTCAAATAATGTCACATAGGGTTTTTGTGGCAGGCAGCTATCTGCATTTGGCCATACACTCTTTATGCTTGCAGAAAACAGTTCTAATTCATTTGCATGAGGCTGAGCGTTGCCAAGACAAGAAAAATTAATTTACTCAGATTTTGAGCAAGATGGAGTGCAGCCTTCCTCTAATTGGGATTGTTGGAAATGGTGTCTGTACCAGCAAGAACTGGTCTGTGTCCAGGAAGAACTTCTTGCCCTTCTCCCATTTTTTATTCTGCTGACCTACACTTTTTATTCAGAAAAGCAGCTCTACACCACCTCAGGCACTTAATGAATAGTTTTCCACCTTTACTTATGGAATGTTCAAAGATCTGGAAACACCATGAATTTCTGCAAAAGGAACCAAGCTTGTTGTTAAACATAGCTTGGCCCCTGGGCCAAGGGACTGCCACTTCCCATCACAGAATATCCCAACGTGGAGGGGTCTGCTAGCATCACTGAGCACACAGCACTACCCACAGCTAAACTACACATCCCTTGTCCAAATGCTTCTCCAACTGCAGCAGCTTTGGTTCCATGCCCAAAAAACCTCTTAGAGAAGAACCTCTTCCCAGACCCCCATCTGACCCACCCAGAGGCAGCTCCGCTCTGTTCCCTGGTGTCCTATCACCAGACATCAGAGAGAAGAGATCTGGCACCTGCACCTCTGCAGCGCTGATGACAGCCCCATGCCAGGGCCCCGCAGGGTACTTTGGCTCAGCCACTGCCTCCTCTCTTGCAGGACCGTTTCTCCTGCACCGGGCATCAGGAAGGAATTTACCCCACAGCCTACTGGCAGTTTGACAACAAGAGTCTTCACTGGCATTTTATAATTCTTACTGCATCTGTGATTTGCGTTACTAAGGGAGCAACAGCATCTATTGTGGATATT